CTGCATTAAAACAATAAAATTCTAACCTTTGTTCCCATCACGTGCAGGGCCATACTACTATGCTTTGTAATGTCCCTCCAAAGAATTAGTACCAACTAGTGCCTCACGTTTTTCACGTATTTGGTAAATATTCTTAATTTGCTCGTCAACCGGACCCGCTGACCGTCTATTTTCTTCACTCCATTAAATGCTACCAATTTTGGATCGAATCACGCGGCTGAAATGGTTGCATATTTGGAGACATTGATCTCTATCCCCATCTATCTAACATTTAAAATATGCACTAGTTTAGTATGAGAATTGTTAAATAATTTTCAAATTCGTTCAAAGTTTTATATTGATCTAATGAAATGGTGCAGCAATCATGATGTCTCAGGAGCTCTTACCAGTTAATTGAACTTATGGTGCCGAATCCAAACTCATCTTTCAAGTAGAACTGGTTTAATGAGTCCAAAAATTTCTTCAAGACAAGTGAATAAAACACCAATGCTTTATTTAGCATAAGAGTTCCAAATCAAATTAGTACAATTTTTCTCTTGCCCTTGGCAAATGGCATGCTCTAGTCAAAGGTGATTTTAGTAAAGGCGCTTCTTCCTTTAGTTTAACTTCGTCCTTTTCAACTATCATCAATTCCTACGACATTTGTTGGATTCATTAGTGGGAAGCATCTCTTTGATGTAAAGCCAAAACCTTAAATTAATCAAATAATTATCTCAATAAAATACGCAGAGTAGAGAGAGATCATGCAGGCTTATCCATGACTGAAGATTCCAAGCAAAATTTCTGTTTGGTTTTGGTCACTTTCGTTTTGGACTATTAATGTCTCGTTCACTTCGCAGATTCGAGTTTTCAATTCGAGCTGAGATGTGACATTTTCAGAGAGTTTTTCACTGTAGCAGTAAAAGTTAAATGTGACATTTTCTGAGAACTTTTTACTGTAGAAACTTAAAACTGAAAACTCGAATCGGTGAAATAAATAATGCCTAATTAATTGACAGTCACGCAAGGGACTTCTGTTCTTTATGGCTTCTCCCTTCTCCAAATCAGAGTGAACGTGCCCTTTTCTCGGTCAAGCTGTGTAGATATATTACAAAACTGCTGTGACTTTATCCATGCTCATACGTACACATATATATACACATATATATTTGGTTGAACCTTATCCTAATATAATATATATATATATATTGCTAGATAGCTCCCATTAACACCTACCATTTTATTTAGAAAAAATAAAAAAATTATCTAATCTAGATATTTAAATACTTTTTTGTTAGTGTAATTATTTGATTAAAAAAATTATAAATGAAGAGAAAAATATAAAAATCTTAACTCATACACTTTTAAAAGGTATTTGTCAATATTACCCATTTATTTATTTCACACTTACACACTCATCACTAGGCTACCCCTAATGCTAAGGTCCGTTTGGTTCATACGTTTAAACCAATGATTCTTAATTTTGATATTTAAAATTTCAATTTTTTGTAAAAGAAAAATATCATAGCAAAATTAAAACTATGAATTTAAACACACAGGGTGCGTTTGGAACCCATTCCAAAATAATTTTATTTTTTGTATGAAAATAGAAATGAAAACGTTTTTAATCTCAAGTAGAAATCATTTATAAAAATGCGCTTGGTAGTTTTATTATGATATTGTTTTCAATATAAGAAAAAACATAAATATTGTTTGGTAATTCATTTGTATTGATCTCAACTATTCATAAATTATAACAACAATGTAAAGATCTGACATAAACAGAATTCAATCAATTCCTTAAAAAAAAAAAATTTCGATGGTTGCCTAAATCTCTCTATGTCTCCCACTTTGTTCTATCACTATCAAATTACTAAAAAAAGCTTTGAGGATGATTTTCATACTCATATTTGGCAATTCCCAGTGCAAGAACAATACCCAGGACAAGAAGACTCGCAAACCCAAAATCGACCACGGTCATGAATTTGTTTTATAGGCTATGGTGATCAAAATACCACCACCAGAAGGATTTTTCTTAACAAACTAATAAAAAAATAAAATTAAAAATCAAAACCTAGATTTGCACCACTATTTTTCTCTGTCAAGTCCACGCCACCCATGCTAGATCCGCACCCAACGGAGTCCATAGCTAGCCGCCGCGTTAGGCTCAGAAATCGTGACCGTCACCCTCGCCGTCATCATCGGTTGCAACTGTCCTATCGAGCCCATAACTCTGGCTATAAAATTCATCCCCCAATTTCTAGAACAAAGCAAAAGAAATCAAAATCAAATTAGCTGAACATGAAATTCATTGTAGAGGTTATGATTGTTCTTGAACAAGATCAATAAGATCTTAGAGAGAGAGATAAGGGGATCCAAATTGAGTATAGGAAAGGGAAAACGAAGAAGAGAATGGATAAGAGAACGGAGAAGAGGGCGAGAAGAGAACGAAGAAGAGGGAGAGAAGAGAACGGCGAGAGAAGTGAAAGTAACAAAAATTTCAGAGCCCGGAGACAGAAAGAAAATGGAGACGGAGAGAAAATAGAAACGATTTTAATTTGTTTTCAGTAATTCATCAGTTTTTGAGAAAAATACAAAAATATTTTTATTTTTAATTTTATTACAGTACTATCCCAAACACGTTTTTTCTTCTATTTTCCTTTTTTTTTTTGTTCTTCAAAAAACGTAAAAAAGGTTTCTAAAAACAGAAATAAACACGCCCATAAATTCATTGTCAACATATTGATATTGCAGGCTATAGCCTATATTATATTGAGCCTGCCACGATGAATTTCTTCTGCTCCCCCACGTGTGCGAAAATCCATCGAGTTGACGAGCCGAGCCAAGCCAAGCCATTATATGTCGGCTAACTGGCTAAGCATGGCTACCACCACCACAGGCCAACGATGATGATGTCTTCTTCCACTCAACTAATTGGGAAATAAAATATTTCAAGAAAAAAACATAAAAAATAGTGTGATGTACTGCTTCAAGTTCTAAGTGCTAAACTGTGTATGAACTATGAATTATATCAAATTAAAACCACTGTGAATCTAATAAACTTTACCCTTTTTGTTTGAAAGGAGAAATTTCATTAAGAATTAAAGAAATACAACCATTGACACAAATAGTCCCAAAACAAAAGAAAAAAACTTGACTAGTATCATCGATAAATTTAAATGAAACACTTAAAGAGTCAAAGCACGCCAAATATCAAGCACAACTAAAATATTATGTTTTTTAAGATTAACATATGAGGATTCGAAACTATACCATTTAGATTTTACTAATATCGTTTTTTTTACAGAATAACCTAGTTATGAGTTGGGAAAATTGAGGATGCAATTTTTGTAGTTTCTGTTCGATAAGGCCTCAGACGTATTTGCTTTGATTACCATATCTCAAAATGGGTCCCACTTGGATCTTAAATCTAGAAATCCACAGATCTTCTTCTAGACAAATATATAGATTGCATAATTAATAAATTTAATCCACCGTCAGTTCGTCGGAAGATATCAGAAGCTGCAAATTATGTGTTGTCTTTTTCAATGATTTTAATTTAATAATTCGATTAAGAGCAATCAGCGTTGCAGAGGATTTAAGACGTAGATAATTAATATTTTTCAGAAGCTACGAACGACATGTCATTTTCTACCCTTTTGCCTTAAATTGTATCGTTTGATGAAAATCAAAGGTCAAGATTCAAGAATGTTGCCACGTGGTCTGCGCACATCGTGAGCAACGGGTGAAGTCTCGTGTGACAGACAAAATGGTAGGTGATCCGTTATAAATAGACCTAAATTTACTATCTAATTTTTAGCGTTTTAATTAATATCTAATTAATTAAATTACGCTATATTATTTTATAATAAATATAAAAATAATAATAATTTAAAAAATAATTTAAATTTTTTACATAACATAACATAATTTAATTAAACATTAAAATTAAATAATAAATTTAAATCCATTAAATATAATTAAATATATATTTGTTGGTCAAAAAGTTGACTTAAGCAACTCATGTGGCAGAAGCGGTTGCTTGTTGAGTACTCGTATTGACTATGGGTCATGGACAGCATAACACCGGGATGAGTATCTATTATTATTATTATTTTCTTATTTTCCACTTTTTTTCCTTTCTAATTAGCAGTCTGAAAAGAAGGAGAAAGAGAGTAATCGTTCACTTTATATATTTAAATTTTTAATTTAAATTAAGATGTAATATTTTTAAAAAATTTTAAATTATAATAAAAAATAATTAGTTTTAATATTTTTTAAAAATTTAATTATAAAAATTTAAAATTATAAATTTAAATTAATAAAATAAACTAGTAGAAAAAAAGGTAAAAAGAAAGGTCTCTCACCGTAGTCAACGAATTTGACCATGGGATCTTCATCTTACCTTTTTTTTTTTTTTTTTTTTTTTTTTTTTTTTTTCTCTTTCTCCTAAACAAAAGCGGTTCTTCGTTGCCCCAATTCTTAATAATAGATGATAGATAGACGAGAAGATTAGTACTTATTTTGAGATGTTTTATAGATCAAAATTAAGTTAGATCTAATTAATTTTATTAATTTAAATTTAAAATTTTAATTTTATTACAATAAAAAATTTTAAAAAATAATCACATTTAATTTTTTACTACAATAAAATTTTTTTATATAAAATCACATATTAATTTAAATTAAAAATTAAACGGGCTTTACGATTCTATCTTTTCCTAATATCGTTGGCTGGCTGTTTGACGGATCTGATTTGGGATTACGTGCTAGATTAACGCTCCTGATATGGAATTAAAACCATCAAATCATACACTTTTAAAGCCGAACTACGAGTTCTGGGCCCACCTTAAAGCCTTTCAACGTTGCCGCCCATCCTCTAACCCAGACTCACAACACTATACACTCACATTGGTGCGTGGACCCCACGCCCGTAAAAAATATATATTAAAATAATACCAGTTCCATTGAAATCCATTTCTTTTCTTTTAACCACGGGTAAACCCGAGTTAAACCATCCCGATAAATTGCATCCCTTTTCTCTTCTCCGTCACTGGCGCTCACTTGTTTCAAGTTTCCTTCCCTTCCTTCCCTCGAGCTTCGCGTCCGTTTTAGAGAGAGAAAGTAGTTTAAAGTCAGAAGAAGCTATAGAGAGAAACGCATGCTTTCCTTCAACTGAAGCTGCAGCGAGAGCGAAAGAGAGAGAGGGAGAAAGCGCTACTACCGAAGCTCAAACTCTTCCCCGGAAAATGGTCGTCTTTTCCGGCAAGCAGGTTTTTCCAGTGGACTACGAGGCCGAGGTCTCGAAACTCCTTCTCGAAGCTTCTCTCTCGGGAGATCTGAAATCGGCGCTCGAGTGCATCGCTGATCCGTTTGTCGATGTCAACTTCGTCGACGCTGTGTGCCTCAAGACCAGGAAGACCGAGGTGGTGTTGGGCGGCGAATCGGAGAGCGAAGTTCGCGTCGACTACGAGGAGTTCAAAACTGATGTCACTGCTCTTTTCGTCGCTGTTCATACCGGAAATGTCTCTCTGGTGAAGAAATTACTGGTAATGCGTTTGAGCTCTGGTTTTAGTCTGTGTTTGTTCGGATCACTATTGGTGAAGTTGAGATTTGAACTGTTTCATTGACCTTGTTTATCCTCACTGATTTCAAAGTGCTTTTTTTTTTCTCAAAAAATTTGAAATATGCTGCTGTCGTTTTCTCTGCATATTGCTTTTCAGAACATAAGCTTGTCTTCTACTCATATTTACATTGCGCTTTTTCTATCCTTTATTTGTTTGTTTGTTTGTTTGTGTGAAAAGAGCTTTAAGAGCGTTTAGTTATCATTTTTGGTATGCGATTAAATGCTGCAATGCATTTTGAAGGTTTTGTTTTGTTTTTTTTTTGTTTTGTTTTGCTGTTTTGGAAGTGTTTTATGTGTGGTTTTCGAAATTCAAACGTTTATTAGTTCCCTTACTACCATAGTTCTTTATTCGTATTTCTTCGTCTGATTATTGACTATAGACGTTTGGTTTACAGTTTTAAAATCATGATTTAAAATTATTTTTAATTTATATATGTATTTTAAAAATATTATAATAAATAATAAATTATGATTTAAAATATAATACGAATTTTCATATTAAACCCGAGTATGACTCTCTTCCTTTTTCCTGTTTGGTTCCACGGAAAGGGATTTTAAGAAACTAATTTTGGATGAATAAAAAATTTCGAACTTTACTTTTTGAAGCGTAATAGACTCTGAAGTTTGAATTTTGCTTTTGGTCGATACTTCAGCCTTTTCTTTTGCTTAGTTACCGAGATTTGCTCGCATCAGCACGCTCAAACTGTTCAGATATTTTTTTCCTTTTTTGCTTTCTTTATTTATAAAATCCAATTGCAATCCTTGAATTCAAGAAATAAAGAAAGAAAAAAAAGAAATAGCTAAATAAAGAAAAAGCCCTGAAAAAGCAACCGAGGAATTTCATTCGAAAACTTACAGGTTTTTATTTTTGTTGTTATTCTTCGGGAATCGGGAATAAGTCCATTCCTTTGAATCTCAAGAGATTTACGTCTTCCTTGTGTTTTACTGTTTGGAATAAGTACGGAAGTGTCTCATTATCAGTTAGCTCACTTCCTCTCATTAGAGGCATTCCATAGTACCTTTAAATTATAATTAATTTCATATTGTTGGATTTGAATCCAAGTTCCTTTCCAACTGGTATTCGATACATAAAAACTGTGCCTTTTTCATATGAGCGGTGTGAGTGTAGTTTTACCCTGGTCCCTCTTATGTACTTACTAATTTTGTACTACAGTTTTTATTTTTTATTTTTTTTTATTTTAAAGCCAGAATAACATCGAATTTCTATGGGTTGCAAAATTGCAAATTCTAGAGGTATCTGCTCATCTTTAAACAGGAGAGATGAATTTCTGTAACTGTGGAATTCGTTTATTTTTGCAAAATTACATATTTACATGCATAAACGAATTCTTTTATTATTTTTTATTTTTAAAAGAATTCGCTCATGCATGTAAATATGTAATTTTGCAGGTTCTAGATCCTATATTCTAACATGCTAAAAAGAATTGATAAGATATTTATGGCATTCAATCGTGGAATAGCTGACATAACAAAAGTTTGTTTGGTGACCTGTTTCTAAATTATAAATAGACTATTCAACATGGTCTAGGAAACCCATTTCGACTTGTCTCCTATGTCGTTTTTAATGATTTTCTTTTACTTCCTATCATTTCAGCGTAACAATAAATCAAGATAATTACCGAGTAAAATTTTCTGTAATGGCCTGTGGGATTTTTGCAACCTACTAAGAATTTGGCATTTTTTTTTTTTTTTTTTTTTTATAAAAACGACAGAGCATTGGAGCTGACGTGAATCAGAAGCTATTCAGGGGCTTCGCGACAACAGCAGCAGTGAGGGAGGGCCACTATGAGATTCTTGAAATCCTACTAAAAGATGGGGCGTCTCAACCAGCTTGTGAGGAAGCTCTGCTGGAGGCAAGCTGTCATGGACGTGGTGCTAAGTTTGCTGAGCTGCTAATGGCTTCCGACTTAATCAGGCCCCATGTTGCTGTGCACGCTCTGGTCACAGCATGCTGTAGAGGGTTTGTCGATTTGGCGGACGCACTCATTAAGGTAAAACTTCCTATTTAGCGTTGCCCATATGGGCTGACTGTAGCCGCTAGTTTGGCCCCACTACAGAGGATGTCTTGTGCAAAACAGGATTAAGTTGACTGTTGATCATTTTGTGATTGGTTTTGGTGTTTTTGGATGAGTAATTCTGTGCAGAGTAAAAATATAAAAATGAAAACTAAACGCTTATCACCATTCATTTTATTTGGACGTCAAGTTAGGTAACTATCTTTATAGTTGCTACTGTTTGCAGGTGGGATGTTTAAAATGTTTTAAGAGTTTTTTTTTGTTTAGAACTTTAACGTTTCCTGGTCTTGCGCTCAACTTACTCTGGTTGACTCTCAGGAAATTCATTCTTACTTCTTACTGACTTACTGTTGAATCTTTGTTTAATCTCAGTGTGGTGCAGATGCAAGTGCTACAGACAGGGTGTTGCTCCAATCATCTAGACCTTCATTGCACGCAAATGTCGACTGTACTGCACTAGTTGCCGCTGTTGTTAGTAGGCAGATCTCCGTTGTTCGTTTGCTGCTACAGGTGAACAAATTATTGTGTGAAATTATTGTGAGAAATAATACATCATTATCATTTATCACATATGGACGAGTTCGTGGGGTCTTTATTTCCTCTATATTTGCCTATTCTTTTTGATAGAAATATTCGTCAGTTTCCATTAAAAAAAAAAAAATAGAGGAAATATTCGCCTGTTCTAGTCTTGTCCTGAGTAATGTACTTTTACGGAATAGTCCTGTAGCATTGGAGTACCTTTTTTTTTTTTTTTGGTTTGTTTTTGTTTTGCTTAACTTACTTTTTGCTAATTCCTTTAACTCATGGTATTAATCGACTCTTTTTGGTTTGTTTTTGTTTTGCTTAACTCATAGTACTTTTTGCTAATTCCTTTAACTCATGGTATTAATCGACTCATTTAGAAGATACGAGTCATATGACTGTGACCCATTACCCTATGACCTCGCACCGTCAAGTGAAGGGTTCTTTTTTTCTTTTTCTTTTTTTTAAATTGATATAATAGCTGATTAGCTTCTGTTTCGAGTACACGTATATCTGACACGCGACAAACGGATAGTCTTCGATGTATGCAATAACTTTGACAGCTGGATATCTGCCATGGGATTAACCCAATGGTGCAGTTCTATGGTTGCATGAAATCTGCATTAAAAATGTGTCATAATCTTTATTATTTTAAGGTTTTTCATTAGGCAGACTCAATACCGTCGGTAGTAAATTTACTCTTATTTCTCTTTTAAAGGCACGTGACTGAAAATCTTATATTTGTTTCCTCTCCCAAAATGGAAAAAACAGGCTGGTGCCAGGACAGACATCAAAGTGAAGCTAGGAGCATGGTCTTGGGACACCAGCACAGGAGAAGAGTGTCGTGTAGGTGCTGGACTTGCAGAGCCTTATCCCATCACCTGGTGCGCAGTGGAATATTTTGAAAGCAGTGGTGCCATTTTGCGAATGCTCCTGCAACAACTCTCCCTCCATAGCCCTCATTGTGGAAGGACCCTTTTGCACCATGCGATCCTTTGTGGGAATGCAGGAGCTGTGAGCCATCTCTTAAGTTGTGGGGCCGACGTAGAATCGCCAGTTAAAACAACTGGAGGAACCATGTTTCGTCCAATACACATGGCTGGTCGTCTTGGGTATTCTGCAATCCTTCAGTGCCTGATTGACTTTGGTTGTGATATAAACTCCAAGACTGATATTGGTGACACTGCTTTGATGATTTGTGCAAGATATAAGCAAGACGATTGTCTCAGGGTATTGGCCATGGCTGGTGCTGATTTTGGATTGATTAATGCCGATGGTCAATCTGTGAGTTCGATTTCTGGGTCAAATATGTGGTTTTTTGGTTTTCAACTGGCAGTGGTAGATGTGATAAAAGCTGGAAAGTTGCCAAGATCGAGCAATCTCTCGGTGTTCTCTCCTTTAATCTCTGTGGCTCAAGCTGGTGATACAGAGGCCTTGAAAGCTCTTATGAGTTGGGAAGGATTTAACGTGGATTATCAGGATGATAATGGTTTCTCGGCAGTCATGATCACTGCATTGAAGGGTCATGTTGAAGCGTTCCGCTTGTTGGTATATGCAGGGGCAGATGTAAAGTTGGCTAATGAATCTGGTGAAACTGCAATTACTCTTTCGGAATCAAACCAGAATCGCGATCTTTTCGAGAAAGTAATGCTCGAGTTTGCACTTGAAAAGGGCAACGGGAATGCCGGAGGGTTCTATGCTTTGCATTATGCGGCTCGTCAAGGGGATTCGGATGCGGTAAAACTATTAACAGGTTGGGGTTATGATGTAAATGTTCCCGATGGGGATGGTTACACTCCACTCATGTTGGCAGCGCGGGAAGGCCATAGTACCATATGTCAACTATTGATCTCTCATGGGGCCAACATCAAGTTTAAGAATGAAAGAGATGAAACGGCGTTGTCCCTTGCTAGGAAAAATGGCGGGAAGGAAAATGAAGCAGAGTGTATATTGTTGGACGAACTGGCTCGCAACTTGGTAATAGGTGGTGGCCGTGTCCAGAAGCACACAAAGGGAGGGAAGGGGAGCCCTCATGCGAAAGAGATCAGAATGGTGGGCGACACTGGTATATTGCATTGGGGGAAGTCGAGTCGGAGAAATGTGATATGCCGAGATGCAGCCCTGGGGCCAAGCCAGGCATTCCGCAGGAATAGAAAGACTAAGGGTGATGCCGATCAACCCGGACTGTTTAGGATAGTGACAAACAAGAACCAGGAGGTGCATTTTGTGTGTGAAGGTGGGCGTGAAGCTGCAGAGCTGTGGGTGAGTGGTATCAAGCTTGTGACGAAAGAGGCAGTTTTTGGATAAGAAATGAACGATGATGTATAGTCAGTTTAGATTATTAGAGGAATACTCCACCTCGAAGTACTGAATTTTTTTTATGTTCAGTGTAAATCTTTTGATCCGTAGTAGTTTTGTAAATCTTCTTGTTACTTAACGGGAAAGCTAAGTAGAAGGTATCTTAACTCATAGCACAACGTGGGTTAATCCAAATACCCTTCACTAAAACCGTTCAAAGCTATAAGTAGCCAAAAACAAAAACTACCCAAGTACATGAAATTTATAGGATTTAAAAGAGCATTTTAATTGTTAACGTTGTGAAATGAAACATCCATCAGCGAAAGACGGCGTTGCTGTGATAGGCTGAAGACCACATGGGGAATTACATGAGACAATATTAGAGTGCTATGAGCCTTAACTATGTTTACCTTCCGCAAAGAAAGGTTTATATCTCTTTATCTTTCTTAGCTCACTTTACCTTGACACCAATCACCAATTAGTAATTTAGTAAATGATTATTACCAGGAAAAAAAAAAAAAAAAAAAGAACCCACATCTCAGGTTAAACAGTTGAAAGCAGTTGAAAACATGTCTCTTAAAGAGCCAACAAATATTATAGTATGTCTTTTAAATAACTAAGAACTCCTTATAATATTAGTTTAAAAAAGAAGAAGAAAGTAAGATGAAAACAATTAATAAACAAAGTAAAGAGAATTGCATTAATTTTAAAAAAGAAAATATAACATTAATAATTGAAAAGGATTATATTATTTTACTTTGGTTCAAGGGGTTTCCGTTTCTACTTTTACTTTGGTTCAGCTGTAGCAGTTACACGATTTACATCGTCCATGGCTTCCCATCACAAGACTACTAAGGATGTTGAAAACTTACGCTTCATCTGACGCTTGCATGACCTAATGAAACCAAACTCACATCACATCTCACGGTGGACCCAAATTTCATGATAAAATGGCGACTAGTTTTTTATGCAAGCACCCACTCAATATGTCATGCTTGTAAACCTAAATACATCTTATGGGCTTTTTAGGAATTTAGCCAACTTTATCCAAGGTAAAACAGAAAGTAAAAGTAACAAGGCAACAAGAGTGCCACAGTATCTCCATGTTGGTATTGTAGCCATAAATTACATATAGACACAAGATGTGATTTGCACTTTAGTACACAAATTATTGCCAAGTTAAGAACTAATCACACAGCTTATGATATACAGTAGATGATCCTTCCAAGTTCTCTGTCAGTGGTAAATGCCTAAATGGCGTCTCATTTGGTGCAAACTCATAATGGCCAAGAGACTATATTGAAGTGAATAGCTGATAACTCATAATGGCCAAGAGACTATATTGAAGTGAATAGCTGATAATCCCAATAAAATGCTAGACTGGGGTTTGAACTCCGACCTATGACCTGACCTTAGCAAGCCGAGCTCTTATTTCTTCCATTTCGTCCTCATCATCAACACCCTCAGCTATCAGCTCCTCCTGCGGATGAAGCAAAAATACATTATGTTCTTTAGCTATCATCATGACCCAAAATTAGTAAAACTGAAAACGTTAGATGACAGTAGTATTGCACGTACCTCATGGCTAGCTTGTGATGCCACCGCAGGTTGTTTCAGCTTCTCCTTCCTTACAGCTTCCGGAAGCTGTGCAGAAGTCTCACCAGCTATAGCAGTCAAAACCTTGTCAACCTCCTCTTCTATCTCCTCCTCTATATCCTCTGAGTCTAGTGCTGTGTCAACAGCATCATTCACCATCTCCTCAATTACCCCAGCCTGCAAAACCAGATATATAACGAGTGCTTTAGTAGAGAACTCAATGAGTGAATGGGGTTTACTAAAATCGTAGAGGACACGTAAGAAAGTGGATTAAAGCCAATAATGGAAAATTGGCAAGAACATAAGCGGTTAGATATTAGTTTTAGTCGGGAAAAGTTCTTGGATAAAGGACAAATATGTTTCCTTTAAATTGTAATAGTATTTACACGGTGATATGACTACCCAATTTCAGGATTACAATAGCATGAAAAGTCTATTATCCAAACGGACTTATGTCGTTTCCCAGCTAAATGAAACATAAATAACAAAATACCTTAGTCATTTCCTTGCTGAACTCTTGCATCGTAGCTGCCACCTCCGGAGCCTTCATGAGATTGTTGACAAGCTTCATAACCTCAGAACTCTTGGATAAATGGCCCACAGTACGGGCAATTGCTGCAGAATCAAATATATTACATTCAGACAGAGAGAAAATGGTGTACAGCTAAACCTAACCATGGACGAGCATTTTTTATGGTGGAAGACAGAAATATAGAGTAACTTATTTGTAATCCTAGTTAATGAACCTCATAGAGTATAAGAGAGCAATATACTAAAAGAATATCTAGCTCTTTCTCAACCATTTAGCTAATCAAAGTTAGGCCAGTGCAGAAATTCAGATATAGGTCAAACCAAAATTCAGACTGCACGCTTAAAATACCAAAAAGCTAAACAAAAATTGCAGAAAACATAACTACTCCAGTATGCAAATTACGTGATACTGTATGCACACAGCTGGCTATGATAGGAGGCACATCAAAGGCAAGAAAAGCTAATAGCCAAAATTACTCAATAATTTCCACAAGACTGAAAAAGAAAACGAAGAGGAAAAACTACTAGCCTAAATTATAATGAATATACTAGGAAACATTTAATGGTTAACTATATATTTCAAGGAAACGGAATAGAATGCAAGTAATAGTAAGCAACTACAGATACCCAGAGATAAATAGCTGAGAATTTACAAGTAGCAATTCCATCAGCAATATAACCTAAACACACATAATTTGAACATTATAATTAGAAATCTCATACCAACACTTTCCCCAAGGTGCATTGATATTGAATTCATTTGTGCTTTATTTTCGTGAAGACGGTTCACTGTTTTCTTAGATCTCACAAGTTCTTTTGCAAGTGCCTGAAATGATAAAGGGAGAAGGAATTTCTGATGCATACAACCAAACATCACCAAATAAACTATAGAATGCAAGGCCAGACTTTATGACATTGAAATCAAAAGCAATTCAAATGTTCGGATTAATGCGGTGGTGATAGAATAGTGATAAAAGAAGGGGAAAAAAAAATGACACCAGTCGAAATCAATTTAGCGGCCACCTGACTTGCTCTTCTAACGGTACAAGCATAGATGTTAAACTACATTTTCATATTCATTCAAACTATTTTATATATTATTATCAGAAAAAGAAATAACACCTTACTAACTTGAAACCGTACATTTGAACAATGTGGTGTCAATCGCACTCCCACCTCCTATCTACGTATGAATTTTGCATGATTTACTTCCTCTTGAGTAACCCAATACCAAAATAGCTAGAAATTTTACTATTGTATCCATTTGGTCGAATAATGGGTGTATAAGATACATCTTTTTCTTACTCTACTCATCAATCTGAACAGCTCAATATATGAAGCCATACAATTAACAAGAGTTTTGTAATTCGGTACCTTGGCAGAAACCATGTCGTTTCTCTTGGCAGCCTCTCTGATAGCTTTCTGCACATTCTTCTCTTCTTTTTCAATATCTAGAGAAAACCCATTACCCAAAACGACAAAACATACATACCCATCAATCCAAATTCAATAGACGATCAAATCTAAAAAAATTACAATTAAATTAAGAAAAAAGAGGCCAAAACATAAATGGGGTTGACTAGGAAAAGCACAAGAATCACATAAAAGATTGATTTTACCTCTGATTTGGCGTTCAATATTACGACACTCTTGACGAAGTTTACGTTGCCAATCTCTCAATTGTTGCTGTGGGTTTGGCTTCGGCTTCAGTATATTCATCACCTTCTCCATCCTTTTTTTAAAAAAAAAAAATTTGCTTATTGTGGGAACGGAAGGTTGTATTAGATCGAGATGGATTCAAGTCTGCGTTCCCTTCTATAGAAGGATAGCATTTAACGAAACGCTGCTGTACGAAAATCAGATTCCCAAAAAGGAAAATGGAGAGACAAAAATATCATATTCGTCAGTAAAATCGTCCACTAGTTTTTGCGAGACGCGAATCCGAAAAAACAAAAAATAAATTAAGAGAAAAATTCAACCTATTGATTAGCAAAATCATGGAAGCCCCTCTTTTTGGGGGGTTTTTTTTTTAAGGAGTAAAAGAGATACAATCTTGAGTAAATAACACAAAATAAAAAATAAAAAAATAGAAGAAGAGGGAGAAGCACAAACCTGGAACAAATGAAAACAGATCAGACCGAGAACGCCAGGGAGCTGAAATTCTGAAGGAAACTGTTGAGATGAGAGTTGATCGCAATCAAGGAGACTTGACTGCAACTCTGAGGAGAGATTCTTGCGAAGTGGGAGAGAGGAGTTGAAAGGGGAAAGGAGGTTTTTTTTTTTTTCTTATGTTTTTTATATTGGTTAAAGTTTTGTAAAAATGATTGTATTCGTGGAGCGTTTAGTTTATAGATTAGAACTATTAGATTAAAATTATTTTTAATTTATATATATTTTTTATGAGAAAAAATATTATAGTAAATAATGAACTATTATTTGAATCAGAGTGGTAGAGTCAGTAATATGGGTTACGATTCGAAAACGATACGAATTTTACGGGTTAAGATTAAGAAAAAAGAAGTTTGGGTTAGAATTGAGTCGACTTAAAATTGACACGAAAAACACGGGTCAATTTTAGGTTGAACCCGCCTAACCCGAACACGACATGAAACTCATAAAAAACTAAAAAATACATATATTTTTCATTACATATTTTTTATTTTATTATGAACTTGTGATATCATGATAGTTATACTCAAAATCTAATACTATTATTTGCATAATTTCAATGGATGTTATTATATTTTAGTGTGCTATGAATTTTAAGTTATTTCTAATATGCTCTTTCGTGTCAATTTCAAATTCATGGGTCAATTTCATGTCATGAGTCATTTTCGTGTCAACTCATAAAGTGGTCGTGTCGCGTTCGTGTTGCGGTTTTTAAAAAATTTCATGTCACGAGTCGTGTTCGGGTTGACTGCAAATTAAAAAGAAATGATCAAAACACGACACGAATACGACACGTGACACGAATTGCCATCCATACCATTTAGTTCGTTGATTTGAGTTTTCAATTCAAGTTGAGATGTGATTTTATGTGAGAACTTTTTATTGTAACAAAAAGATTAAATGTGACTGTTTATGAGAGTTTTTTACTGCAATAAAACTTGAATCAATAAAATAAACGGATCCTTAATGATCAATCATTAATTAATTTAAATAGTCAATTACTGAGTGATTTAAATTTATTATTAATTAATTGTAATTCTATGGACTCATTTAAATAAAATGATTATTTTCATAAAATAAAAAAAATTCAGTCATTTATGAAAAGAGATGATTAAAAAGACCACACTTGCCCTTTTTTTAGCCCAAAACGGTGCGTACAGACATGTTCAATACATCACCTTGATATATGTAGGATAGGATGTACATGTAGTCATGTATAGATGTATAGATTGATAATATCTTGCCATATCCAAAGAGGCAAACACCAGGAATTCCCACTCCAGTTTCAAAGCCCTTCTCTCTGACAATATATTTTTTTTATACAAATTTTTCCCTCTTTATGGGCATTTGGAACTAAGCTGAGAATGAGGGGTCTCTGTGCAATCCGCTCTCCCACGTTCGCGCCCCTGCCAAGAGGAAGTTTTTTCAGCCCCTCAAGGTGATTACTCCTCTGTGTGTGTGTGTGTGTGTGTGTGTGTGTGTGTATATATGTTTAGATGTGTGTGTGTATTATACACACACACACACACACAAACAGGATGATATATAAGACCCACAGGATGATTCACATAGATTATGATGTCTTTGTGCACATTTGGAAAAATTCTCATATGGGTTTTTGCTACAAGTTAGTAAATATGCTAGAGGTGAGCATTGTAAGTGGATTTTTGTGTGATGATAATACCAGTTTAAGGATTATAAGGATTTGCGTTTTGAAAGTTGAAGGAAGCGTCCCACTTGTGAAAAAAAAAACTAGTTGGTTCAACTCTTTTTCTCCATTTTTGTTTATGGTCAATTTTCTATGTTTGTTTAGTTGAACAAACTATAAATGCTCTTTCATTTTCTTCCAGGAATCAAATAGCTTTCACTAGGAAATTCTTCAATTGTCGAGCAAAATTTGGTGAGTATTTTTGAAAACATCTCTTGTTTAGTTGTTTTCTTGGTATTCCTTCATCCGTATTAGAGCAAATTCACTCATTTATATATTAGCAAGCACTTTCTGTGGAGAATGTTAATCAATAACCAAGTTTTGTTCTTGATATTCTTCCACAGCTGAGTCTGGGGTAGAGGGTTCATTTAGCTTAAAAGTGATACCTTCGAATCTTTTAGCAGCGGAAAGAGAAGAAGCCAAAGCTGTTTTAATCTTGTTCTTGAAGAAACATGGTTTGGGTCATGCCGTTGCTGCTAGAACCATCAACAAGTCAGACTCTTTTATTGACCATTTAGTCTCAAGGCTCCATTCTGTTCATAAATCTCGTTATCTAGTAGGTCCGATTTTAACGCTTTATCACATTCTGTTAACAAATTTCGTTATCTAGTAGGTTCGATTTCAATGCCTATATACTTCTCTTTAATCATCAAATTCTGTTTATGTAGTAGATTCGATTTCAACATGTTACTATTTTCTCTTTGGGCGTAGCTTAAATTGTTATTGCTATCCCTTGATTTGGTTCTCTCCTGATTAAATTTCCATCGACATTGAAGGACGAGAGTTAACAACTCTTGAGATCAGGGATGCTCTTATTCCTTGCCTCGAGACCCTTCGCGAGGAGTATGGAAATCTTCTAGTGGATGTAGTTGAAAGCTTTCCAAACCCACCCATTAAAGAACAAGCAGTTGCACCAATAGTTCCCCCATCAGTAGTTCCTGCACCGGATTCACCACTTGCGAGTAATAAGAAGCTAAAGGCTATATCTCGAGTTAGTGAGATAGACCCGGATGGGAAGCTTCAACCTAAAATTCTCTACCTCCAAGAGCTTGGCATGGATCTTGATCAGATTAAAGGAATTGTGCGGAGATTCCCTTCTTTTGCGTACTATAACTTGGATGGGAAAATAAAGCCAGTGGTTGAGTTTCTTCTTGATCTTGGTGTGCAAAAATCACAGATTCCTACCATCCTCAACAAAAGGCCTCAGTTATGTGGAATCAGTCTCCATGGTAATATTATCCCCACCATGACATTCTTAGAAAACTTGGGGGTGGACAAGACACAATGGGCGAAAGTGATATACCGCTTTCCGGCCCTCCTCACTTATAGCAGGCAAAAGATGAAGGCTTCCGTAGATTTTCTTTATGACCTCGGCCTGTCACCGGAGAGTGTGGGTAAGGTCTTGACACGATGGCCAAACATTACAAGTTATAATGTGGAGGACAAATTGCAGCCAACTGCTGATTACTTCCACTCGTTAGGAGTTAATGTTTCTGTTCTCATTCTTCGAGCTCCACAAACTTTTGGTCTTAGTATCGAGGCTAATTTGAAGCCGGTGACAGAATTTTTCTTGGAGAGGGGATACAGCAGGGAGGAAGTTGGGACCATGGTCTCAAGATATGGAGCCTTGTACACTTTCAGCCTGACAAACAACTTGATACCAAAATGGGAGTTTTTCTTGACCCTGGACTATTCAAAATCAGAGCTTGTCAAGTTCCCTCAATATTTTGGTTACAGCTTGGAAGAAAGGATTAAGCCAAGATATGCAGTCATGGAGCAATGTGGGGTGACCCTGCTATTGAACCAGCTATTGTCATTGTCGGGTCCTAACTTTGATAAGGCTTTGAAGGCGAAAATGAAGAAGCTACTTCCCAGCAAGCATCAAAATTCATAGCAGCCTCTGAGGAGCGAGAAGTTTATGCCGCTAGCACCACAAATCGGACTTAATACATGATGGAGCACTGTAGGAGTATGGTTGGCAAGGCCGAACCTAAAATGACCGCATTTTTCTTCAAGAGATAGAGCAATATTTCTTGTTCCTGAGTCTTATCTTCTGAATATGTTATGCTATTAACATCTGTAATATTTCTTGTTCCTGAGTCTATCTTCTGAATATGTTATGCTATTAACATCTGTATATGCAAAGTTTTGAGCTAATTGAGCTGCTCTAAGTACTTGAGTTGTATGGTACCGGTGACAGTCACAGAGCAAGGCATTTTTTTACTGTCGGTGTTCCTTATCCTTTCTCTCACATTTCTTTTTCTTTTCAATTTTTTAATCCCCTCAAATTGAACAAATATCCACCGAGTCTCTTATGAGAAAAAAATATTATAAAAAATTTAAAATTATAATTCAAAATTAAAAATGAATTTGTGTTTAGTATGAGAATTTGTGTTATAATTTAAATCATAATTTATATTTTTTTATAGTATTTTTTCTTAAAAATATACACATAAATTGATAATAATTATAAATTATGATTTTAAATCTGTGAATTAAACGTAAAATAAATATCTCATTCATAAAATCGGGTATTATTTTGGAATTTACCTTACAAAGTAAGAAAGAAAAAACACTTTTTTTAATTGTACTTATTTTTATTTTTGGCAAAAAACTAGTACACAAAAAAGTAAAATTTTCTGCAAAAGAAAAAAAAGCAATTGAAATATCAAAGCAGATGATTTTAATTATATGCTGACTTTATGCACAGATAATACAAACGTCATATTTTAACAGAAATTAACACATTTAAGGCAACTCGTCAGACATAGAAGAAAGCAACGCAGTTATACAAAGGAAAACTCGTTAATGTCCTTTCCTTAAAAAGTGATAACAATAATAATTTCTTTTCTGGAAAAATTAAAAAAGAAAAAGTAAAACCAAAAATTTCCTTCGCAACGGTGATTTCTCTCTCTCTCTCTCAAATTTTTTTTAAAAAAAAAAAAAAAAAAAATCGTTTCTTGGGGCAGTTTTTTTTGGTCTGTGTTTTTTTTTCCCCCTTCATTTTTAATTTCTTTGAGGTCCGAGACGAGACTTGTTGAGCACACACGTCGACCATTACTGCAGAAGCTTTCCATGTAGAAGAGAGAGAGAGAGAGTTTCAGAGAAGAAGAAGAAGAAGAAAAGGCCATGTTCTACTCACAGACTCTTCTGTCAAAGAAAGGCCCTTTGGGCGCCATTAGAGTCGCCGCTTATTTTTTCAAGAGGCTCAAAAAACCTCATGTCCAACACACTGATGTCGCCTCTTCTGTTGGTATATTTCTCTTTTCAGAGATAGTTTCTTTCTTTCTAGTCTTTTCTCTGTCTTTTTTCTAATTTGTTTTGCTTTTTTGAGAAGAATGAGGCAGTACTCACAACCAAATCCTTGAGCTTCTTGACATTGCCCTTTTTAGTTTTCTGATTTTCTCCTTTTTTTTTTTTTTTTTGGCCCAAGAACGCATTTTTAGTTAGTGTTTTTTTTTTGTGTTATTATTATTATTATTATTATGGTAATAATAAAGATAATTAATTGTACTCATTCTGTTGTGAAATATGGATTTTTACAAGCAACGCTGTGTGTATTTACATGGGTTTTTGTTATAATGGTTAGCTTGTGCCCTAAGGTTTCAAAACCATTTGCTTTTGAGGAAGAAATATTAGCTTATATAACCCACTTGGGCTCTTCTCTTTTGCTTTGAAGTTTGAACTGTTTCAAAAAAATTTCATGTATAGTTTCTGAAACAGCCACCAATATGCTGTTCTGTTTAGCCATTTAATGGTTATTTTGGTGAGATTAGGGTTGTTTTATCTTCCCTACGAGCTGGCATTCAAAGAGTGTTTTTAGAAAACAACACTAAACTTTTGGAAGGTACTTTTTCTTTCCGGTGGTTTTGGAAACAATGTGGGAAACAGTTTAATGCTATTTGAGAAGAAGATGTCATCTTTGTGAAGAAAAGAAATTAAAAAATACTTTGTTGGAAATGTATTTGACTCTTACTTTTTTTGTTGTTCATGTGACTTTGTGCATATAATCATCTTGGACCGACTTCTTTTCTGAAATTTGTACGGTTAGGAATTTCCTTTCTTAATTGACATTTCCCTGATGCAGATAAGATTTTGCAAGAATTTCCTGTCCTTACATATAGAGTGTTGGGATACCTTCTCCTTGGTATTGTCCGAATATATTCGAAGAAAGTCGAATATCTGTTTGAGGATTGCCAAGAGGTATTAATTGGAGTCAATAACTTTGTGGTTCATACAATAGAAGATTTGCCTTTAGATACACAGCGGGCACCTTATTTCGCCATTACTCTCCCGGAAACTTTTGAACTCGATGCTTTTGATCTCGAGGTCCTTGATGTTGATGACGCTATTGGGTAAGTCCTTTAACCTGTAAATCATGTGAGCAAGAAAGATCTGTTGTTTTCTGAATCATTCTCCCTTATCATTTTTATTTCCTTGTACTTCCCAGAGGCAACGTCCTGCCCCATGAGGAGATAACACTCAAAGGTATTAAATTTGCAGTGCAAACATATTTTTATTTTTACGTAGTTTTATGGTCTTTGGTGATTTGGTATCTCATGTGATACAGATAATGCGCCAGAAAATGCAGGCACCAAGCAATATGCTTCAGACATGGTATGTCATGAAACATTTGTTTTTATTAAGCTATACATTTCAAACAACTTTTGTTTTTATTGCTGATTTTCCTCAAAAAAGGTTTTGATTATTTTAGCTTGATTTTCAGGGATATGCCATATACATTTAAAATATGTCGGGTATATTGTTAATGCAGTGTTTTTGTGAGGAAATTGGTGGCAGTCATAGTACGTGCTCTGCTGATTACTTCCCCGTTGAAGGGTACGTTCTACTTTAAAAGAAGCTCCGAGTATCATGTCAAAAGTTTTTTTTTTCCTCTTTCTTTGTTATTTCATTTTTATGTCAAAATTTTCTAATCAATTGTTATTACAGAGTTGTCTCATCTTACTGGATGGATGTACATTTAAGCAACTCGATTAATATAGACAGCTTGATAGCAAGCATGGAGAATCTTAATGAAAATAGGCCCCGAGATGAAAGTGTGGACCTTGCAGTGATTTCTTCAGTTGAAAAGGAACCTCAAAATACCGATAAGCCATATGATGAAGGTAATCGAGACAATAGGGAGGCGGTAGAGGACACACAGATCTTATCATCTAGGGATGGAATACAAGAAGCAACAAGCACAGAGAAGCTTCAAGACTGCAGAGAAAATGGTGTTAATCTTATGAGATCTTCTGGGATTGAAGAAGGACCCTCTGACCATGTTCAACCAGAAGGTGAAGATATTCAAATTGATCCAAAGCAGATAATGGTCTCAGAATCTGAACAACTGGAACATAACACGTACCAGGCCACTAGGCAAGACCATAATCTAAGTAATTTACAGGCTGAAGTGGAGAAGCTTCTAGATAATAGGTGCTCTCATGTAGAAGCTCGCACAGAGAAGCTTCAAGACTGCGGAGAAAATGGTGTGCACCTTATGAGATCATCTAAGATTGAGGAAGGACCTACTGACCGTGTTCAACTTCAACCAGAGGGTGAGGATATTCAGATTGATCCACAGCAGATAACGAACTCAGAATTTGAACAACCGGAAAATGAAATGTGTCGGGTCACTACGCAAGACCATGATCTACAAGCTGAAAGGGAGAAGCTTCGAGATACTATGTTCTCTCAAGTAGAAGCAATAGACATTGTCGTGTTTGTGCCCAAGGAGCGACAAGAACATGTCGAAACATTCGACGAAGAGAATCATGATGACGGAGAGCAAAGACTACCTGAGATGCCAGAAAATATAAAAAGTCGTAGTTTAGGAGAAGGCGAGCCATTATTTATAGAGCTTGATAGAACTCCAGAAATCAAGGTTCCAGATGCTTCAGGTGAAAATTCTTCTCATGGGAATCCATGTAGTTTTGACATAATTAGAAAAAAAGATCTTTCCTATGCTAAAGTTGCAATTTAAATTTGTGCTAATGCAGGTGCTTCCACACTGCAGTATATGGGTATTTCAACACCAGCTACCAAGGAGCGTTCTTTGGTGAATGCAAGGGCTGCTACGCCGAAGTTTATAAGTATTCCAACGCCAGCTACCAAAGAGCGTGCTCAAATTTCTAGGAAAAGAAAATGCATCTTTGATGATGTGATAGTGCTGCCTAACAAGTATGTGATGGTTTCCTTTAACTGCGTTTTCTCCTGTGTAACTGAGACTTAGATGGTTCCCTGTTACTTATAAATAGAACTAAACCTAGAAACGATTAATATTAGCTTCTAACCTGATGATTTTGAGTGAGTGAAGAGCCGTGCCTACTGGTGGGTCTTTTATATTTCTTGCCTTTCAATTATCTTAGAATGGACCAGATCTGTGGAACAAATAATGTCAGAAAAATAAAAGGAATTAATGCTGTATGATTTTTCATGCTAAAAATGCACAGGGTACTTAAGACAAGCATATATGACGCCAGTGACTTGGTTTCTAAAAGAAGAAAGGTTGCTCAAACTGCTCTTGCTGTTTGGAGAGCATCTCGATCGCTCCACAATGAGTTTTTCGAGCCTTTAATTCCTTGTAAGTTTGATATACAGTTCATTATGAAATTTAATTAATACTTGTGCACTCTTTTCTAACCAATATGTTCTGCAGGTGCTTCCTCAGAACTAAGATCCCTCTTTTCTGTGAAGAAATTGAAGATAATAACCTCTGTTAAAACTGTGGAACCTCCAATAGAACTCAACATTCCTGAGAGACCACCAGTTGCTATATCAGAGCAAATATGCATTGCTCCAGAAACACCCGTCCAGCGCTCCACATTTCCGAAATCATTTGAGGGCCCAGTGAGCCCTCAAACTCCAAACTATGATAGAGTAAGGCCTGAACTGTTCGAAAATTTAGAGCAGGAGCCAGCTTCAATCAGGGACGAGGAACTTGATCTCAGTCTTATAGATGAGGTAATGGCTGTTTAATGCTTGCTTTCTATTACAAATTACAACACATGGACCAGTAATATTTCCGAGTCTTCTTGTATGTGAACTTATCACTCCACCTTATACCTTTTTGCGTGGGTCCAAAACACGTGGATTACATGAAACCACCATATCTCCAAAACACGTGGATTACATGAAACCACCATATCTATAATCATGGGCAGTATGAAACTTACCACACTTGGGGTATGAAAATGGCATGTACTCTCGGTGGTCTTGCCTGGGAAATCTGGAAGTGCCTTTTGGTTTCTTAACTGCACCAGATATAAGTAATTAATTAGTATGATGTGCCGTTTATATTTGGTTTATTTATTTATTTTATTATTGTTTCAGGTGACAAACTCAAGTGTAGAAGATAACTACGAATTGGGTAAGAAGCTATCCCATATTAGTTCGCCATGTTAATTGATTCAATTTACCTGTTCACCTTTGATTCCTTGTTTTGGTTAATGTGGAATTATGTCTGAGACTCTGAATATAATCTTTTGTTCTAGATGGATGGTCAGGGAGAACCAGGTATGGTTGATTTTCTATTCTTAAATTTCTATCTTGGCTATAGTGGATATCAGGTTTGTTTATCTCCTTGCTTAGCTAGAATTTTCAATTTGTTAACCTTGGTTTTACAGAAAGGTGGCAAGGTATTTGCACAGAAGTTTTCTAGATCAAAAGGAACGGGGAGAGGAGGAGGCGGTGACCTTGTCACGGGTTGTGAAGGGAAGAACCAAGAAAGAAAGTGCAGGGTTTTTCTATGAGATACTGGTATGTTTCTTCTGTTCAAGTTCAGTTGTTCTAGAGTCATCTTTTGACTGAAATTCCCATGTTTCAAGTAGAAATATAATAAATTCAATTTTTATAATGCCTCCGTTTATTTGATTGAGAGTTGCATTTTTTTCGCCACAAAAAGTCCACTTCCTATCAACTTGAGCGTTTGGGATGAATCGATAAAGTAACACGGTAGAAAACGGTCTTGCACGCAAGTTTTTGGGAGAATTGGTGACAGTTATGGTGCAAAATCTAACTGAAGTGACTGGAAAATTTCACAGGTGCTGAGCAGTAAAGGGTATGTGGGTATGAAGCAAGATGATGCTTATGGTGACATTTTGGTCTGCAAACTCGAAAGTTTAAACATGGAACCAAACTTGTGGAAGAGCTAGTTACCGGAAAACAAATTCTGGAAGAGTTATCATGTCACAACTTTCCTAGAACTGACAAATTCTATTTCCATTCCATGAGAATGAAAAACCTGTATAGGTTCGTACACCTCAACGTTAGATGAGTTACCTTCCTTAACATGTTGTAAATATAGAATTTTCTCCACCTGCTAATAAATGAGTATAATTTTATTTTATGTATTTATTATTATTATTATTATTATTATTATTATTATTATTATACACCACGACATTTCAACCTCTTAGCATTGGAAGCTATTTATCTTTCCACTGATCTAAGGAAAGAACAAGATTGGAGTGGTTTTTCTTTCTTTTTTTAGCACTTTCGATATATATAATGTTGAAAAGTCGTTAAAAAATGGCTATATACATGATTAGTAGCTAGCACATGCATTCAAATTTTGTCAGATAGATTCGAATAGAATCGTCAACATCATCAGTTCTCTATTACATTAACAAATTAAAACTATAAAGGGAAAATATTAACTTTAAGATTTAAAATGAGAGAAGCTGTACTTAATTATTGACGTTACATAAGTAACACTTTATACGACTCAAAACAACGTTATTATCTAATAAGAAATTTATGATATAGAAAAATAAAATTGGAAAAAGGATATTTAAAAGTTGTGGCTAATAGGATTCAATTATCTCACATATGCCTTTGATAGAATACACTTCGTTACTTTAGGATATTAACTTTTTACTTTCTAATAATTATGCAGACGAAGTGCCGTTCAAGGGCACTTCTCTTCAACACCACCGCCGAGTGTGCCGGTGACGAATGACCCGATATTTTATACCCTCATGCGTTAGCCTATTGTCAACATGAACATCCTGAGCTGAACCTGTCTATGCCTCAGTCATCCCCGCTGCCACCACCTCCTTCCCCTTCTTCGACTCTACCGCCGCCTTCACCGCAGGCTCCGAGTGCCCTATGTGATTTGCCTGCTAATGAAAGCACATATTTGCAATGCTCGCTCCAATTTAACGGCCACGATGGAACTAAGGGCAGCCCGATCAATTCCACTTGCTGTGCTCTCCGCCTCAACGCTACCGAGCAATGCCCCGGTGGCCATTGGTCGGAATTTTGGCCTCGATCCATAGCCTACTGCCAACATCCTGACCAGAACTCATCTCCGAAGCTGCCGTCGTCGTCACCGTCGCCGTCATCTCTGCCTCCTCCAGAAGAAGCCGCAAATTAGTGTTGGACTTTCCCTGACACACCATGCAGCCTTGCATTAATGAAATCATGTATGGATTCTTCGACAAGAGTTTGGGAATGGGGCCGGCTTGCTGTTCCACCATAGCCAATTAGGGAGAGGATTGCTTTAGCGAATTATCTCGACGGTTTCCGGATCTTTTCTACCCTTTCTGGCTCAGACAACAATGCTCTACATATAGGAATTTTGCTTAAGCACCAATGATCCCCAAACTTGTTAGTTTAGTTTCTAAACTTTTTTTTTTTTTTGACGAAATCAACCTCAAATTATTTTAAAATGTGTAATGTCATCATTTTCATTAAATGCTGTCTAAAAATAGAGATCAAATTCTAACCTATTAAAGTCGATGAGACTAAAAAATTACCTCATAAAGAAGTAAAGGATCATAATGTCACATTTTTAGGTTATTTTTAGACGATATCTGACGGAAAGGATTACATTGCACATTTTTAAATAGTTTGAGATTCGTTTCTTCAAAAAAAATTTGGAGACCAAACTGTCACCTTTTAAAGAGTTTGGGGACTATTCGTATAATTTATCTTTTTTTTTAAATTGATCTTTTAAAATCTATTTATGAATAAGTGCCCTAAATTGTAGATTATTTAAGTATATAAATCTTTAGGAACAAACGAAAATCTTGATAAAAAAAATAATGAAAATAAGTATAGTAGAATAAAGTATGACCGAAGAAAATGTAAACAAAGGGTGAGAAAGGTTTAGAAAGGAAAAGGATAAAATAACGATATCTTAAAATCTGTCAATTATTACAAATCAATCTATGTCAATTATTACAAACAAATAGGAAACTAATAAGTGAACACAAAGGTTTCGTTCATTTCATCGGTTCAAATTTTATTATAGTAAAAAGCTCTTAAAAATAATTACATCTAACTTTTTTATTACAGTAATGAACTCTCGCATAAAGTCACATCTCAATTCAAATTAAAAACTCAAATTAGCGAACTAAACAGGCTTAAAATACCAGAAAGATATCTAATATGCAGTTGCACATTTGGAATGAACTATTTTAGTGGACAAATTAAAAAATAAAAACATTTATAAAGACTACATATAACAAAATCAAATATTCTTTTTTTTACTGGAACAAAATCAAATATATGATATTTGCAAGAAAAGATATTTACGTGAAAATATATTTAAGAAATAATATTTCAACAGTGGTAATTTGAAAAGAATTTATTTAATTAAACATTAAAAAAAAAGACTAAAAAAACTCCCAAAGGCCAAAATCCCGGAAAAGGCAGAAGAGCAAATTGAAAGGAAAGTTGAGAAACCGAGAGAGAGAGAGAGATCAGAAGAATTGAAGAGGAAGAATGGGGGATTATCACTTCGTGTACAAGGACGTTGAAGGAGCATCTACGCAGTGGGACGACATTCAGAGAAAGCTCGGCAATCTTCCTCCCAAACCACCGGCTTTCAAGCCTCCACCCTTCACTCCCGCGGGCGATGAATCCTCTCTTCCCAAGGACAAGTCTTGGATCGACCGAAAGACTGAAGACGAGCTCGAAGACCTCGAAGATGACGCCGATCTTGACGACGATCGCTTTCTCCAAGATTACAGGTTCGCTTGGTCTTTCCGATTCCAAGAGAAAATTGAATGAAATGTAAAAGTTTCAACTTTGTCGGAACTTTGTTTCATCAATATTGTTTATATTCACTGCTCTGTTTATCTTGAAATGAGATTGGGAATTAGTGATTGCCTTTAGGCGAGTAACGAAATTATTTGATTTGGAATTTGTGAAAAGGAAAAGCCTTCGTCATCTATGAATCGTTTTAGTTTGATTTGAAGCAGTTGAATTAGTGGCTCTTGTGTTGTTGATAGGAAGAAGAGATTGGCAGAGCTGAGAGAAGCAGCTAAGGTTGCGAAATTCGGATCAATTATTCCGATTTCAGGATCAGATTTTGTGAGAGAGGTCTCTCAAGCTCCATCTGATGTTTGGGTTGTTGTGCTTCTCTATAAAGACGGGTAATCACCAGAGTTAAGATAAATTCAGTCTCCACTTTATTTCAAAAACCAACCTTGGTGATTTTTTTTCTTATGTTGAAAAACTGCACAACAATTTCTTGTAGAATCGCGGAGTGTGGCGTGCTGATGCAATGCTTGGAAGAATTGGCAACAAGATACCCTGCAACTAAATTTTGTAAAATAATATCCACAGATTGCATTCCAAACTACCCGGATCGTAATCTTCCCACTCTTCTAGTGTATAACAATGGTGCAGTGAAAGCAAATTATGTAGGTTTGCAACGGTTCGGCCGGAGATGCACGCCAGAAGGTACTTGAAATCCTAGCATGCTCTACCTTTCTTTTTGTTCATAAGTTGCTTAGGAACTTTTAGTTACTCTGTTGAAAGTCTTAACATAAGTTTTTCTTAATCTCCATTGCTGTGTTTTTTGAACTACTAGGCGTTGCATTAGTTCTCTGCCAGTCGGACCCTGTGCTCAATGACGGCCAGAGTGGGAGTGATCCGTCAACAAAAGCTGTCATCGATGGAGTTCGCAAGAGGTTTCTAGAGAAGGTTGTGACAGAACATGAAGATGGTGATGATGGATCTTCAAGTGATTAAGATGTTAGGAATTTCTTTGGTTTGTGTAATGTATTAAGTTTGTTGTTCCTTAAGAAATGAAATAGTTGCTCATTTTCTTTGTCCTTTTTTTTTGGGTGGTTTTTCAGTGTGCTTTCTTTGCACCATAGCCGCAAGAACAACTTTTTGGTTACCTCATTGTCCGTGAAGCTAACATGCCTACTTTTCCTCACCTCAATATTCTGAAACAGTGTCTTGTCACATACTCTTTATCAAGTAACAATCACATTCCCACTTTAATCCTTCAATTTTTGGTTGGTTATGTAAGATGTAACTTGTCGAGTAGAAATTTTTACGGCATTATGAAAAAGTTCATTTTTTTTTTATCGTCTTAAGGTTTTCAAACAAGTGAGGGTAGAAGACTAAATGGCATTTAATTAGAAACTGAAGCTTCTCAATCAAAATTGAAGTTATCGTTATTTAAACAAATAAACTACCTCCAACAACCAAGGGGCAGCAGTTCAATTCATCATGAGCAAGAAAGCTCTTCCACTTAGCAATTCTCGTTTTCATTGACCCCTACAGATCAAAATACATATCCAACAAAGGAAAGTAACCATTGCTCTCCTACACATGATCTGACATCTTTTGTGTGGAGTTTCCAAGCAACTGCCAGATGACTACTCGTTTTCCTCGCCAAAACAAAATTGACTTCTTAAAAAGGAAATTATAGAAAATATTTGGTGAAGAACTTTGAATACTGTGCTTTCCAAACTGTCTTTTTTAAATATCATTGCAGATCCGCACATTCATTCATATTGTCACATAGCAAGCTTCAATGTCTCTTCAAGCGCTCACTTCGGCTTTATTCTTCTTGCTGCCTTTGCTTGTGTCGCTATCTTTTTGTTGTTGCTGTTCCGCCTTCTTCTGAGCCCGTATCATGGCTCGTCTGGCACGGGGACGCATTTCTCTTACCGTCCTAGGAGGCATCACATATGGCTCAAGGGGTCTGTCACCAAAGGGATGCTCACTTCCGGTGAATATCCTCAGCTTTCTATCTCTATCCTGCATTCACAGAACATCTAAGCTGAATAAAATCTTGAACATGATACAAATTATAACATAAAATGTAAATGACCCTGTATTGCAGTTGCCAGATCACATCAAAAAACATTGTCTGAAACAAAACAAGGGAAAACCAAGTAGGTCCAAAAAGAATATCTGGAAACATGAAATAAATAAATAAATAAAGTTCCAAGAAATTTGTATGGCATCTCAAATAATGCGTACATCACGCAATTTGTTCCTCGGAAGCATGCGTAGCACAGCTTTCCGAATGACTTCTGTAGGGTCTCTGGCCAACTGGTCTTTTAAGCTTCTTTCTTTGAGATGGCCAACATACCTACAGGTCATACAATTTCAACGTCAAGACAAAAGTGAATAAAGAGGACGGACTTTATTTACAGGCATCACACAGCTACATGAATGAACAAAAGTTCCTACTCCTTTAGTTTTCACCAGCATTTAGGACTGCCACTACTCTCATTCTAAAGAAACAGTTACACATTCACAATCAAAAGATTATACACAGAGAATCATGGGCGTCACAACCAGAATTAAAATTTGTCATATGCACTCTACAACATTCCAAGTTCCAACTGTGGAAACTGTTCAAATATGTAATGACTTTAGTGAGGGTACTTGCCCAGTATGCCAACGGTAAAATTTATCAGTGAGTTTTCTCCCCGTAACGCATATATCCTTGGCATTAATAACAATGCACATATCCCCGTCATCACGATTTGGTGCGTATGTTGGTTTATCCTTGCCTTGAACTACGGTTGATATTTGAGACGCTAATCTTCCAAGAACCTTAAGAGAAAATAAAAAGAAACAAAAGGTAATACGACAAGGGTATTATGTTAAAAAAAACCCAAAACATCACCAATTCAATTAAATAACGTGAACATATTGAACAACCAATTCCAAGAACAATTTAACCAGCAAAAACCCAGTTTCACTTTCAGACTAAATTTCCTACTTTTGGCTTTATTTCATTATAATTTAGTTACAAACTCATTCTTTCCAATCCTGATCTTCCACTCCAAAAGCTAAATGAAGTGATTCGACAATATTGAATGTCAAGAACAACGAATGACCACTTTAACTCTAATTTTGATCATTTAAAGAAAGAAAAAAAAAAAACAAGTAGATCAAAACCTGGCCTTTAGCATCAAATACTTTCCACCTCAGACCTTCTAGATTTATGCGTCTCAGGCCAGCAAGTGCTTTCTGCATCAATATTAAATTAAACCACATTTCACGTTATTTGATTATGCATAAAATATAAATAGTAGAGAACAATTAAAATAAAAATAAAAAATTTCTACTTTAGTTCTAAAACTAAAAAATAATTCGGATTGTAGGCCAAAAAAAAAAAAAATCAAATAGGCACATAGAGCATAACATCTAAGCCTTACGAATTGCAAAAGAATCCTATAAGAAAGGAATAACTTCGTTTAGGCCATTTCACAAACAGTTGGCGTGCATTAACCGACGAAATGTTTTGTTAAACGCGAATCGTTTAAACATCATTGGGAAACGAGAATTATTGATACATAATTATTAAAGAAAATGTAAAAAAAGAAAAAGAAATACAGAAGAAGAAGCAAAGATTGCCTTCAAATTGCAATTAAAATTGGTAGCTGCAGCTTGGCTTGCCATGTCTCTCTTCCTCTCGATGGTTCTGTCCTCAAACGCAGATCATCCACCTTTTCACAACCCAATCCAGCAATCTAGTGAGGGAAAAAAAAAAAAAAAAAAACTACTCAACTAGTATACAAATTTTTGTAAATTTTTCGAAACCAGAAAAATAAGTTGCACCTGTAAGTAAACCCTGAAGGAGGAGTAGGGTTCTGAGAGAGAGTGAAAATGAAAATTGCCGAGGTTGAACCTGGGCCGAAAAGGAACTCATTGAGCCCAGAAGTTCGCGACTTAGGCTTGGGCCGTCTATAATTGGGCCTAAGAGAAGACAAGCCCACTAAGTTCTATTCTTGGCCCGAAACTAAAAGCCCATTTTATTTCAGCCCAATTAGGAATAAACAAGATCCGCTTGCCGAATTTATTTATTTTTATTTTATTTATACTCAAATCGCTCGAGTTAACTCAGTGCAAAGGAGCGAGTCAGAATCCTCCACTGCATAAGGCATAAACTAGAGGAAGCAGCAAATAGCTTTCTGCAAAATCTGTTCGTTCGTTTCTGCGTGTCTTGGTTTTTGCAGAAACCGATTGGCGAAAGATGGACTCGGTTGAGGCACTGGTGACCCAAATCCAGGGGCTTTCGAGCACCGCCGGAGACGTATCGCGGCTCCACATAATTCTCAAGCAATCCGACGACTCGCTCCACCCCGAGTCGACTCGGTTGTTCCCTGCTCTTGACCAGCTCGACCCCTCCAAACACTCTCTCGGATATCTCTACATCCTGTAACTTTCCCTTTCTTCTCCTCCTTTTAGATTTCTGCATGGTTTTTTTTTCCCTTTTTTTCATATTTTTAGGGTTTCAGATTATCGCATGTTACGAAAGTTACTTTTTGTATTAACGAGTTTGGGAACTCTTCGGATTTTGATTGAATGTGGTTAATTTTGATGCGTTTTCTCGGAATCTAAACGCGGCACAAGGTTGAGGAAATTGATGTTGGATTTTTTTTTTTAAAGGCGAGAATTCTGAGGATTTTGACAGAATTGGATTTTATTACAAGAGTTGTTTTCTTAGTGACTTAATTTGTTATTTCTTAGATGCCAGAATGGTTAATTCGGTTTGTGAAATTTTACGAAATCGGGATTTTGTGATTCTATATGTGTCTGGTTACAGAGAAGCATGCTCATCTGGTCCGGTTTCAAAAGAGCGAGCTAGTTCCCTGGTCTTAACCATCTCCAGATTCATCAGTTCTTGTGCGGCGGAGCAAGTTCGTTTGGCGACTGAGAAATGTATGTCTTAAATCCTTAGTTTGTGGCATCATATGAATTAATATAGAAAATGTGTTTAGTGTTAGCTAATTTGTTTTGTCTGCAGTTGTATCCGTTTGTAAGAGATTGAAAGACCAAGCTTTGCTCCTCGAAGCTCCGATGCGAGGTGTGGCGCCAATGTTAACGGCTATTAGGAAACTTCAGACCTCATCGGAACATTTGACTGCATTGCATCCAGAGTTTCTACTTCTCTGTTTGTTGGCCAAATGCTACAAAACTGGCTTGTCTGTTTTACATGACGACATTTCCGAGGTTGATCAGCCGAGAGATCTTTTTCTCTATTCCTATTACGGGTAAGTTGCTTCCATCTTTTTCTTTCTTTTCTTCTCCCTAGTTACACAAGTAGCCGTCAGAAAAAAAAAAAAAAAAAAAAAAAAGGTTTTCTTTGATATATGTATCCATATGCGTTCACATTAGATTTTCTATATGTGCTAATTTAGTATCGCGTTATTGTTGGTAGCATCTTTTGTTGAATGTCAATTAATGTAGAGAAGATTTGAGTTTTGGCTTTGAGAATGTAAATCTTAGTTTGAAACACCCTTTGGGTCACAGTCTTGCAATATATTTATCCACGACACTTGTACCAAGGTAGTTAAATGATTATGATTATGTTCAAATAGTCCTTTTCATGGAATGCAAATTCATGAGTTTTTGCCACTTTATCTATCTTGAAGGGTTTCCAAGTACTTCAGGATTATTATTATTGTATATTCAAGTTCATTTATAAGAAAACTGCTGATAAAATTTTACCTTTGTTGTCATGACAGAGGGATGATATGTATAGGGCAAAAGAAATTTCGCAAAGCGTTGGAGCTTCTACACAATGTAGGTTAACATATCCCACTTATTGATTTTCAACTATATGATTATGAACCCACATTTAGCCGACACTCTAATTGCCTGTCACATATTTTGCAGGTTGTAACTGCACCCATGTCTTCTATCAATGCCATAGCAGTTGAAGCATACAAGAAATACATACTAGTTTCTCTCATTCACCATGGACAAGTATGTTTTTCATCTCACTAGCTGATTTTATTGAAACTTTGAATTCTCCACATTAGGGGGGCTATTTGTACTATGTGGTCAAATCAACTCACGATTTAAATGCTATTACTTTGAAGACTTCATTTTGTCTATGTCCTACAGTTCAATCTTTGATTATATAACTTTGGCTACAACTAATCCAATGTTTTGTTTCAATTGGGGTGGCAGTTCTCCACCAATCTCCCAAAGTACACCTCTTCAGCAGCTCAGAGGAATCTAAAGAATTTTTGTCAGGTAGTAAAAAAGCTGGGGATTTTCTTTATTCTACAATATTTCTCTTGATTAGATGCGTATCTTTTCTTGTGTTGATTATTATGGTCCCTCGATTCTCTTCCTTGAGCAGCCCTACATTGAATTGGCAAATAGCTATGGTACAGGAAAGGTGACAGAGTTAGAGATATACGTTCAGACAAACAGAGAGAAGTTTGAAAGTGTGAGTTTTCTAAATTATTCATCATCTTATTCATCCATTTTCTTGCATGAGCTGTAACAAATTTCTTAGCCTTAGACATGAGAGACGTACTTGTTTACTAATATGGCTATTATTCAGTGCTTCAGCCGTCTAAGATTCTAAATTAGGTTTGCAAAATTTCTTCCCCAGGACAACAATCTTGGATTGGTAAAGCAGGTTGTAGCTTCAATGTATAAACGAAATATTCAGAGATTGACGCAGACATACTTGACTCTCTCCCTCCAAGATATAGCCAGCACAGTTCAATTAAACAGCGCTAAGGAGGCTGAAATGCATGTGCTACAAATGGTAGTTTCTGTAATAGAACGACTATTGTTCTTAAAAATGTCATGGCTTTATTTAAGACTTTACTCTCAATTTATAGATCCAAGATGGGGAGATATACGCAACGATCAACCAGAAAGATGGCATGGTTAGATTTCTTGAGGACCCTGAACAATATAAAACCTGCGAGATGATTGAGCATATTGACTCGTCAATTCAAAGGTAAATCTTATGACAATCAATTGGTGTGATTATTCATTTATGGGTAGTACAGTTGAAGCAGCATTAAGGCTTTATTATTAAACTTTTTTGTTCTCTTATCTTATTCAGGATAATGGCACTTTCAAGGAAGCTGACTGCTATGGATGAGAACATCTCATGCGATCCTTTATACCTCTCAAAGGTGAGTCCCTCATTTCTAGTTTTTGATCTGAACCTATTGTGAACCTTTGATTCGAAATATTGCTTTTCCGTATATCTGCAGGCTGGAAGAGAGCGACCGAGATTTGATCTTGATGATTATGATAGCGTTCCTCAGAAATTTAACATATGAACTATGCAAAAGACTGCTCTTCATAGGGACCCGAAGTGGTGAGAGATGATTTGTTGGCCACTTTTATTGTGCAAAAGAGATGGAGGAAAGTTTTCAACCAGTTTGGTTCCGGCTTAGAAATAGATACCTGCGACCAAGTCTAGTTATGAAAACAATTTGTGGGCATGTTTTGTTTTAAACTTTCTTGTTTCACATTTACTTATATATATATATATATATATATATATATATCCTTTCTTTCTTTCTTTAACAGTGTTCTGCAATGAATATATTATTTGCTGTAGCGAGAACCGAATGAACTTCTGCTTCGTGAGTTGTGAGGATCTTATTTTGGAAAGGATGCTCATAAACTCATGAAAGTCCATATAGAGTTGCATTGAATAATAATTTTAAGCATGATGATTTTGAAGATGATTTCCTACTTATCTTTCTTAATTTGGTTCATAACCAAACAGGAACAAAGATTTCTTAATTCTGGTATTTCGCTCCCTATTCTCGAATATTGGTGTCAAAAGTTCTTGAACTTTTAGACCCGTTAATTCTTAGAAGTTGATGACGCTTGCTATGAAATTGTAGATGGAAGTGATCACGTGATGTGAGCGTCCTAACTTTTGGATAGTAATTAGTGGAATTAAAAAGGATTAATTTCACAAATCTCTAATCAATTTTTATTTTTTTTCACGAATGAACTTTTGTTTTCGAAATTTATAATTCATAATCATATAGTTTGAAATTTTTTGTAAATTTCTCCCCTAACAATATCGAAATGCGTAATTATCTACAATAAATACAAGTGCATTTGAACAAGATTAACAATGAATGCGTTACAATTATCAGAGCTGAAAATGGAGTGAAATGGGCGTTACAACTATGGGCCCAAACATTGAGATGGATTATTGGGCTTTATTTGATCAGCCCAATGGGCCATGTATAAAACTCTCATTCTTCAACAAAATACTGTTAAGAACATAACTCGGTTGCCAAATCTGGCTACTCGGTGGTGAGCCACCATCTTTCTCGTCTGCTCCGAGTCTCCGAGCAGAGTAAGTAGTTACACAACTGTGAAGCCATGGGAATTGACAACTCTCATAATAGTCATTTCTTCTTTACAAAATCCCCGTAATTTATGTTCCCCAAAAGAATTTGAATTCTAGCCAATTGCCTCGATAGGAACCAACGAAATCCTTGGATCTGGAGCTTCTTTGACCTTCTTCTTCCATGGACATTCTCTTCGCTCAGATCCAAGCGGACCTCCGCTCCAACGACGCCCTCCGCCAGTCCAGCGCCCTCCTCCAGGCTCTCCAGCAGTCCGCCGCCGGCCGCGACATCTCCGTCATCGCCAAGTCCGCCGTCGAGGAGATCGTCGCCTCTCCGGCCTCCGCCGTCTGCAAGAAGCTCGCCTTCGACCTAATCCGATCCACCCGCCTCACTGCCGACCTCTGGGACACCGTCTGCACCGGCATCCGCAACGATTTCGACTTCCCCGACCCTGACGTCACCGCCGCCGCTCTCTCCATTCTCGCTGCTATCCCTTCCTACCGCTTGTCCAAGCTCATCACTGATTCCAACAAGGAGATCAGCAGTTGCTTCGATTCGCCGAGCGATAATCTCAGGTTTTCCATCACCGAGACCTTGGGATGCATTCTCGCGCGCGATGATCTCGTTACTCTCTGCGAGAACAATGTCAATTTGCTCGATAAGGTTTCCATCTGGTGGACTCGAATTGGCCAGAACATGCTCGACAGATCCGACGCCGTCGCGAAGGTGGCGTTCGAGTCGGTCGGCCGGTTGTTTCAGGAGTTCGATTCCAAGCGGATGAGTCGATTGGCGGGGGATAAGCTAGTTGATAGCGAGAATTCGGTCGCGATTAGGTCAAACTGGGTTTCGTCAATGGTGGATTTGGTTTGGAAGAAGCGGAGCGCGTTGATGGCGAGGTCGTTGGTCTTGCCGGTGGAGAGTTTCAGAGCCACGGTGTTTCCGATCGTGTACGCCGTCAAGGCCGTTGCTTCGGGCTCGGTTGAGGTCATACGAAAGCTATCAAAATCCTCCGGTGGTTCCAACGGGACGGTTGTGGATTCAAATGCGGAGAAGCTTGTGGGAGTTTCGGACGTGGTTTCGCATTTGGCGCCATTCTTGGCGTCGTCTCTGGAGCCGGCTTTGATTTTCGAAGTTGGGATTAACATGTTGTACTTGGCGGATGTGCCTGGAGGGAAGCCCGAGTGGGCTTCGCAATCCATTATCGCCATTCTCACGCTTTGGGATAGGCAAGAATTCTTTTCCGCAAGAGAGAGTATTGTGAGGGCTGTTGTTACGAATTTGCATCTTCTCGATCTTCATATGCAGGTAGGCTTGCTTATTTCTTCTTTCACTTATTGCCTCTTTTAAAATTGGAGAAGCATTTCAGTTTCTTGTATGTTAAAGATCGTAGACACGGGATTCAGAATGGCGGAATTTAAGTATAATTCACGTGTGTCCTACGTTCGGTGCATTATTGAAAACCTTAATAGCTTTATTTATTTAGGGAAACAGAGAACAAAATTGTCCCGCTGAAATAAAAGCAACTTAAAATCGTCATTCAAAGAAAATTGATTTTAATCTGTTTTAGTGTCGACTAAATTTAACTTTAGGAGTGCTACATTAACAACTAGCTAGTGGAGTTCCAAAAACTGTATCTTTATTTAGCTGCTTAAACGATGATCTAATGTAGTAGACTTTGTGTCTATAGGTTTCATTGTTTAGGAGGCTGCTTTTGATGGTGAGAAACTTGAGAGCCGAATCAGACCGTATGCACGCATTAGCATGTATTTGTCGGACAGCTCTTTGTGTTGATCTTTTTGCGAAGGAAAGCGTGCGAAGAGGGCAGAAACCTCTTGCTGGAACTGATATTGCCTCTCTTTTTGAGGACATTAGAATAAAAGATGACCTTAATAGTGTAACGAGTAAAAGCTTATTTAGAGAGGAGCTAGTAGCATCTTTGGTGGAAAGCTGTTTTCAGTTGTCTCTACCTTTGCCTGAACAAAAGAACTCAGGTATGGAAAGCAGGGTTATTGGAGCTTTGGCATATGGAACTGGTTATGGTGCATTGAATTGGACTGAACCTGCTTTGGAAGTAGTAGAAGTTTGTAGGCCTTGTGTCAAATGGGATTGCGATGGACGAACATATGCTATTGATTGCTACTTAAAGTTGCTCGTTAGGTTGTGCCAAATATATGATACAAGGGGAGGTGTCAAAAGAGTTAAGGATGGAGCTTCTCAGGATCAAATTCTAAACGAGACAAGGTTGCAAAACTTGCAACGTGAACTTGTGAAAGATTTACGTGAGGTACGGCAGTTTCTTCCTGTGGTTATGTTTAAACCATGAGTAATGCATATATTTGAAATGCATTTATGAGGCTTGTCATATTAAACTCTCTCAATTTGTCAGATAAATACCCCAAGAGTATGTGCCCGTGTCATTTGGGCTGTTTCAGAACACATAGATCTAGAAGGCTTGGATCCGCTTCTCGCTGATGATCCGGAGGACCCGCTGAACATTATTATATCAAATATCCACAAGGTTTTGTTCACCTTGGATTCATCTGCAGATACCACAAATAGGCTTCTAGATGTCCAGGCACTACTTTTATGCGCACTGAGGTTAGGATCACGCTATGCAAGGGCTGGGGCGTTACTGACTAAAGAACTTGAAGAATTTAGAAGCAATAACATGGCTGATTCTGTCAACAAGCATCAATGCCGTTTGATACTGCAGAGAATCAAATATGCTACTAGTCATACAGAAAGCAAGTGAGCATATATGTATTTTCTTCTATCTTTCGATACATAGTATCTTCAACTCGTAATTACAAATAGCATCTTGCTGCGTAAGTCTGACATGTCTGTTTACCTTGTTTATCATATCCTTCTTGCTTGTGAAGACATGACTCGTTATGTTGCTTACTATCCTAAAACTCAAGTTTCATTTAAAAGAATAGGGACTGTTCTTGGGCAATGTGATTACAGAACTGATTGTTATTTTTATTTTTTAGGTGGGCAGGGGTGAGTGAAGCCAGAGGTGATTATCCGTTTAGCCATCACAAACTAACTGTTCAGTTTTATGAAGCATCTGCAGCTCAGGACAGGAAGTTGGAAGGACTAGTTCACAATGCTATTTTAGAGCTTTGGAGGCCAGATCCAAGTGAACTAACCCTTTTGCTGACAAAGGGAGTCGACTCTGCATTACTCAAGGTTCCTCCAACTGCAGTCACTTTGACTGGTAGCAGTGATCCCTGCTATGTCGAAGCATATCATTTAACAGACTCTACTGATGGAAGGATCACTCTTCATTTGAAGGTTAAAATCCGTCTCTTTTTGCTATTTTAATTTTTTAGATCATTAAAATCTTTTTGTTTTTGGTTGACACAGAAACTATACTACTTGTTACGGCTGCCATCCACCCAGTTGGCCAACTAATGCGCCTAATCTGAGAAATCACCCCTTTCTGCTCATTTAAAAGAAGAGAATATAAATTTTTTTGAAGGATTTTCGTAGTTAGTTATGTTAGTAAATCATGCTGGAAGAATATATTCCCACCATCCATGAGTAGTACTGTCCATAAACCACTGATACGGAAAAGATTACTTTCTGTTTTGACCTCAGGGTACCAGCTATCCTAGATTCTTATTGATACTCATGCTCCCAATTCATGACTTGCAGGTCTTGAATTTGACTGAGCTTGAACTGAACCGGGTGGATATCCGGGTTGGATTATCAGGTGCACTGTATTTTATGGATGGCTCTCCTCAAGCAGTGCGGCAGTTGCGTAATCTTGTTTCACAGGTTTGACAGCCCACATCAACACTGCGAAACTTTTCCCCCTTCATAATCTTCTTTTTCTTGAAGACTTGAACAAAGAGTTTCTATTACCACTGATTGCCTAAGGAGAGCTAGTATTATTGATGTGTTTTGCAGTTTCATGTTTTGATTCTCACGGTTGACAATGAGAATTTCTTATCTGCCTGCTTGTTGATCTTTTTCCTAGGATCCAGTACTATGCAGTGTGACTGTAGGTGTCTCACAATTTGAGAGATCTGCCCTTTGGGTTCAAGTCTTATACTACCCTTTCTGTGGTAGCGGTGGTGCTGGAGATTATGAAGGTGACTATACTGAAGAAGATCCACAGATAATGAGACAAAAGAGAAGTTTAAGGCCAGAATTAGGAGAACCTGTCATCTTGAGGTGTCAACCATACAAACTTCCGCTCACAGAGCTTCTTCTCCCCCACAAAATATCACCTGTCGAATTTTTCCGTCTATGGCCTAGTTTGCCAGCTATTGTAGAGTACACTGGTACATATACGTATGAAGGAAGTGGTTTCAAAGCTACAGCTGCTCAGCAGTATGGTGCGTCTCCTTTCTTGAGTGGGCTTAAATCCCTATCATCCAAGCCATTTCACAGAGTTTGTTCACATATAATACGAACGGTTGCTGGATTTCAGGTAAATATGTTGTCTGTCGTATTTTTGATCCAATTCTGTTTTATTTTTAATCATGTTCTCTTATTTTTGAAACGTATTTATCTTGATTCTTTTTTTGTCTTCTTCTCTGTATTGGTTAGAGCCATCTTAAATGTTCTAAATTGAATCTGTTTGTGTACTAGTTGAATTTTTGAAATGTTCGCTTTAATTTCCTCCTGCTTAAAAATGAAGGAAAACTCGTTAATAAATTTTGTTTTTTGGCAAATAACTCATACTAACTTGATCAAAATAAATGTTCCTTGTATATTAGTATAAAAGCGTCAGAGTAATTGGAGTTATAGAATTAGATTGCTGGAATGTTAGGTTATTGCAATCTTTGATGGTACCTTAAGCTACTATATGTCATAGTTTTGATTACCTATCCTTGTACAGCTTTGTCTTGCTGCAAAAACTTGGTACGGTGGATTTTTGGGTATGATGATATTTGGAGCCAGTGAAGTGAGCAGGAACGTGGATCTTGGTGATGAGACGACTACTATGATATGTAAATTCGTGGTTCGAGCTTCTGATGCATCAATAACGAAGGAGATTGGATCAGATCTGCAAGGCTGGTTGGATGACCTCACTGATGGGGGTGTCGAGTACATGCCTGAGGATGAAGTGAAGCAGGCTGCTGCTGAGAGGCTCAGAATCTCGATGGAGCGGATAGCGTTGCTAAAGGCAGCTCGACCAAAAGCCAAGGTTCCCAAGACGGATGATGATGAAGAGAATGAGGATGGAGTGGAGGAAGAAGAGGATAAAAAGAAGGAAAAGAAGAAAGATGGTGAAGAAGATGATAAAAAGGGTCCTGCAACCTTGTCGAAGTTAACCGCAGAGGAGGTTGAGCATCTTTCTCTTCAAGCGGCAGTGCTCCAGGAATGGCACATGCTGTGTAAAGATAGAGATACTAAAGTTAATTAAGGATTAAAAGAAAGGGTTTGAATATAATTTTTTTTTTGTGGTCATGCTTGTATTCTTTTTCGTCTTTTCCTTAGTGTACCGTTAAGGTAGGTGTTGAGAATCTCTGATTTTTTGTATCCTATTTTGTATTTGAGTCTTCATTTTTTTCAACGGGGACTTTTCTTTCCTCGTATATCTGTTACGGCTAGTTATTGACTCACGTCCATTTGGATAGAGGTTTTTGTTATAATCGTGAGTTTTTTCATTTGATGATTTGCAAGATCAAAACTTCCAAGAATCACGGACAGGAATTACTTGCTTCAGGTTTCAGAGAAACCCTACATCCAAGACCAAGGGTAAATCCCCTAGCAAAATCCACTATCAGAACAGAACAATTTACACCCTCAATCTCTCTCTCTCAATTACAAGCGGTTAGTTTACCAATCCATCCAAAAAGCTTAAGCTGTTAGGAGGTGGGTTAACAATAGTTTTATATTTTAACACTCCCCCTCACGTGTGGGCTGGACAATGGACAATCGTGTGGGTAAATTAATTGGAAAGCCTAACACGTGAATATTTAAGCCCGAGATATATAAAGACTCAACACGTGATGACAATTTTAAATGGGGATAAAGAGTGCAATTACGAGGGTTTGAACTCAGGACCTCCTGCTCTGATACCATGTTAGTTTACCAATTCATCCTAAAAGCTTAAGCTGTTAGAAGGTGGGCTAACAGTAGTTTTATACTTTAACACTCCCCCTCACGTGTGGGCTGGACAATGGGCAATCGCGTGGGTAAATTAATTGGAAAGCCTAACCCGTGAATATTTAAGTCCGAGATATATAAAGACCCAACACATGATAATAATTTTAAATGGGGATAAAGAGTGCAATTACGAGGGTTTGAATTCAGGATCTTCCTCTCTGATACCATGTTAGTTTACTAATCCATCCCTAAAGCTTAAGATATTAGGAGGTGGGCTAACAATAATTTTATACTTTAACACAAACTTTCCCAAGATTAGCAAAAAAAGAAAAAAAAAAAAAAAAAAAAAAAAAAAAACCCCACAAACTTTCCCAAAAACTTCCCCTAAAAAGCCCCAAGCTTTCCCAAAAACTTGCTCTCTCTCTCTAATTCACCAGAGAATTCGATCCCAATTATGCAATCAGAAAGAAAATTAAAGAGAAGAAAAGCTAACTTTTGTTCTGACTCTAAGTACCTCTATTTATACGCCATACTCCATATAAACAGACAAATAAATTAACTTGAGTTAGGCTCTTAACCACTAATGGTTAAGTCAACTGTAAAGTCGGTTAAGAACCAATGAGCTACAGCTCATAATTGAAACAGATTTGGCTAATATATCTGACTCATAAAATCAGAGTCACAATATTAGCAGCTCATTTTATTATGGAACTTCATATTTTCTTCTCATCGAGCTTAATTTTCAAAAGCGGTGCTTGTATTCTATGTCCCTATTTAATAAAATATATCTTTTATTTTTTTTCTTAGGAAATTTTTCTAGTGTTCATTTTTTTTTGAGACATTGGTGTTTCATGCTTAATAATTGTCGAATATGTATTACTTTTTTAATCTAATTTAATTTTTGACTAAATTTAATACAAATTTAACAACTAACAAATAATGAATACCGGTTTCTAAAAAAGAATGAACACAATAAAAAAATCCCCTTTTCTTAATGCGTGGGCGACAAAATGTAGGGCTCTGTCACTGTGTTGATGTTGGCAAAAATGTTGATAGTACTTGTTTCATGACGTTAACTTCATAAGCCCCGTCAATCAAGAGCTAATTTGAATATTAAACGACGCATTTTAACTCAACGACATGATTCATGTTTGCCGGCAATACTAAACTGTTAATAGACGACACCATCCTTCCAGACGTCATTTTTTTCAGTAAACGACACCATACACACTACACCTCATTCTTTCCTCTCCTTCTTCCCAACTAAAACGACAGCAAAATAAACGACACCTTACTTTCAAAGGCAGTTTTTTATTTTTCTGCAGTTAGATTTAGCAATGCAATAGATTTTTGTTTCCCTCCAATCAGGAGTCACTCACTCAATCACATGAAGACCGAACGAACCGCCATTTCCTTGTCTTGTCTCTGCGTTTCAGTCTGACCCTTTACACCTCTTATCCACAGCACTTCAGAGAGAGGAAAAAAAACCCAAAAATATCTGAATTTCAAGCTCTGAAGTGAAAAACTCTTGCTCAGAAGTTTCGAAGCTCGAAACCCTAACCCTAAACTGTCACTTAGACATGGAAGTCGGCTCTCTGCACGATAGGTGCATTTGGTCTCCGATTCGCTCTTCGTCTCCTCATCGCCCTCTCGTGGTCCATTCCATGGTGATCTCAATTTCCGCTCGGAAGAAGAACCCTGGATCGCTGCGTCAGAGAAGTTCTTGCCCGGCGTCGAGCTCCGAAACCTTGGTCGCCGGCTCGCGGAAGGAGGAGTTCGCGGATTTGAAATCTTGGATGCACAAGAATGGCCTCCCGCCTTGCAAGGTGGTGCTCAAAGAGAGGCCTTCCCATGACGAGAAGCATAGGCCCATTCATTACGTTGCCGCCAGCGAAGATCTTCAGGTGAAACGTGAAATGTGAAATTCTCTCTGGTTTTTTACAATTTTGTTTGTTCTTCAATTCTTGACGGGAAATTGGTTACTTGTTTCTTGCTTGGAAGGTTGGGGATGTTGCGTTCTCCGTGCCTAATTCCCTGGTCGTAACGCTTGAGAGAGTCTTGGGGAACGAGACCGTTGGTAAGGTGCATTGGTGATTTTGTTGATTAGTATTGTCTTTTTTCAATTATTTATCAAGAAACGAATGTGAGTGAGTTTTCTTGATGTCTTGCTTTCTCAATTTTATGTGTTCAGTTATATTAGGAAAAAAAGAAACAAACTTGAGAGGATGAATGATTAGTAGCCAACGCAATTTTTTCCCCCCCTCAATTTGACGTTGCTTGATTATGAAGAATATTTAAAGAGTAGATGGATTTTGATAGGAGCTTTGGATGGGTTGGTGAGGTTAACTTTGTCACATCCGCGTTAAGTTAGAAATATGGATAATTGAAATATATCTATCTTTTTGCTCAGAGTAACAAATAGAATATGAATCTACGGCTTACATGAAGATGCATAGTAAAGTCTGAATATGTGCCGGTTTTTAACACATTGAATGCAGGAGTATGACTTATATCAGTTGCTTTGTTCTTCGTGCAGCGGAATTGTTAACTACGAATAAGTTGTCGGAATTGGCATGCCTAGCATTGTATCTGATGTATGAAAAGAAGCAGGGAAAGAATTCTTTTTGGTACCCTTATATAAAAGAGCTCGATCGTCTGCGAGCAAGGGGACAGTTGGCTGTGGAATCTCCTCTTTTATGGTCAGACACTGAACTGGATTACTTGACAGGCAGCCCTACTAAGGTACTTATTTCTTGTAGTTGTATTCTCTTTACCATTGTAAGATCAATGCTTCTATGCCAATTTCTACATTTTCTTTGTTCACTTTTGTAAGTTGAAAGGATGCATGTGGCTTGTATCCTTAAGACTGTTGCCTTTCCGTAACGTCAGGCTGAAGTGCTTGAAAGGGATGAAGGAATCAAAAGGGAATATAATGAGCTTGACACCGTATGGTTTATGGCTGGGTCTCTTTTTCAGGTTATACTCAACTGAAATTATGTATTCTGACTAATGAATGACCTTTTTGTTTTTCAACAATTTATGACATAATTTTATTTCTTTATTTGCCTCTTCAGCAATATCCATATGATATCCCTACGGAGGCTTTCCCTTTCAAAATTTTCAAACAAGCTTTTGTTGCTGTGCAGTCCTGTGTCGTGCATTTGCAGGTAATTTTATTTTTTTTTATTTTTCTTTTGGTTGTTGCTGTTGCTGTTGCTGAATAGACAAGGCCATTGTTATTTGTTCTAGTGCCTACTCATTTATCGACATGACTCTTTCACATGAGATTGTATTTTTTGTGATGTCAATACTTTTTAATTCGTTTAATGTTAAAACGATTTCAAATACCAGGATAGATTAGAAATACTGACTTTTCCTTAACAGCCATTGGTGGATGTTTGCAACGTATCGGCAGTGCTTCAGTACTGGTTTTGAGTGGGCATGGAGATTTTCCGCATTGCATTCTATTGATTTCTAGTCATTATGTCTATGCAGTATGTCACTTATCTATTTTCACTGCTTGACAAGTTGTATTCTCATATGTCAGAAAGTCAGCTTGGCTCGAAGGTTTGCTTTGGTACCGCTTGGACCCCCACTATTAGCTTATAGTAGCAAATGCAAGGCAATGTTAACAGCTGTTGATGATGCAGTTCAACTGGTGGTCGATCGCCCATATAAGGCTGGGGAATCTATTGTTGCTTGGTATGATATTTTATTTAGCTGTGTTTATGGAGTTGACTAAGATTGGAAATTGTTCATTTAATAATTTTTCGAATGCTTGCTTCCTTGTTGCTGTTCTTTAGCATGTGAAAAGTTGGTTATTTTTTTATTTTTTTGCAGGTGTGGGCCACAACCTAATTCAAAATTGCTTTTGAACTATGGATTTGTTGACGAGGATAATTCTTATGACCGTCTGGTGGTTGAAGTAAAGCCTGGAAATCCCTATACTACTTATGTTTCTCTGTTTATGTCAATCTTGCTGAATATGTTTCGTGCTGCATATGGCCCAGGCTGCTTTGAATAGGGAGGATCCTCAATACCAGGATAAAAGATTGGTCGCTCAGAGAAATGGGAAACTATCAGTACAAACTTTTCATGTATGAATATGAAACCTTTTTTTTAGCATATGAATTATTTGCATGATTCTTTGACATTGGTTCTTTAATGTATCTGCACTTCAGGTCTATGTGGGAAAGGAAAAAGAAGCTGTTTCCGACATGCTTCCATATCTACGATTGGGCTATGTTTCAGATCCTTCAGAGATGCAATGTGTAATCTCTTCTCAAGGTCCAGTCTGTCCCGTAAGTGTATTTCATTAAATTCCCGTTTAAGTTTTGTTGAATGATTTTGATGTAAGCGTTAAGCTTTGTGTTTTTATTTTTTTGAAAGAAAAGTAAATCCATAGAGGAGATTTTGGGAATTAGATTATGTTTTAATAAACATTCCAAAAAGCCACTATCCTTGCTTTCTTGATTAATAAACGTGTGTTTTCAGATGTTTGATCGGACACTAAATATTCAATTTGGCTATCATTATTCAAGGTGGTTTATTTTTTCCTTTTCTTTTTATATTGACAAAAGTAACAGCGTGCTTCACTCTGGTTGATATATTTCGGTCCTTTGGTTTTCTGAAGATTCAAAGTTTTATGCGGCTCTCTGTGTAGAATTTTCTAGTTAAAGTAAATAATGGAAGCTTCTTTTATCAAGAGACCAAAATCTCAATATAACGGACTAACGGTAAATGTATTGGATGTTAATAGGTAAGCCCTTGTATGGAACGAGCAGTGTTGGACCAACTTGCTGATTATTTTAGGACACGCCTCGCTTGCTACCCAACTACCTTGAAGGAAGATGAGTCTTTGGTAAATTTTGACTCTTGTTGAATTTGAAATTATATTTAAAATCATGGCTTATTGCATCATCCAGCGTTGTTTGTTACAGTTGGAAGATCCTACTTTGAATCCAAAGAAACGAGTTGCTACACAGCTTGTCAGACTAGAAAAGAAAATGCTTCATGCATGCCTACAGGCAACGGATGAATTTATAAACCAGTTACCAGATCACACTGTATCACCATGTCCAGCTCCTTATGCCCCTTCATTCAAATAGAAGGTACTCTTAACTGTGTGTGCTTGTGTTTTTCCTGTGCATGCGTGTGAATATACACAAGAATGCTTTTTCTTTTTGCCCCTCCCATTCATTTTGATCCGGATCAACTTCTTGCAGAGATATCTATTATTGCAAAACTGTGGATTTGCAAATACTTGGGGGATATTGGTTATAACATAGAAGAATATAGACCAGGTGAGTTTGACAACGATTTTCCCCAAGCTATTTGTCTCCGACTAAAGTAAGCGCGAAATATTTTATGTCTGTCTCTAGGATTAACCGCACATTGATTGTGAGAAAAAAGGAGGAAAAAAGTGTTATTGTACTGAAATTCCGAGTCTTTTGTGGTATTGGTCATAATTCTGATTTAAGTTAACATATGTTTAGTTGCTAGTGTTGCTTTAATATTCAGCAATGTGCCTTTTCAGGTTTAAAATTTGTGCTCTCTCTTTTTTTTTTTTTTTACTTTGCAGGTAGGTTACGAAATTCAGCAACTCATTCGATAACCAAGGAAATTAAAGAATTTCGCTACACCCCTAGCTGGCATTAGGAGGGGATTATCATGTGTGTTTAAGTGAATTCCATTGAACAAGTTTCTTCGGCGTAGCTATCAAATTTGGAAGATTTGGCTGTATTCTGTGAATAATCGACCTCACTGCTCTTTGTAGAACAAAATGATAGTATCAAGGATGTTGATAATTTTGTTCGCTAATAAAATTTTGTTATTTTTTTGTACATCTAAAAACAAATGATTAATGCTAATTCAGTTTTATTCCTATGTTCTCTACATTTTTGGTTTAGCCTTTTGGATCTAGCTTTATGCGGTTGGGCAATGGGAATATGCAATCTTTAAATAGGTAGCATTCAAATTTGGTTTTCTAGATAAATTTTGGTTAGGTAATAGTTGATTATCCCAAGTTCTCTTAAGTTATCCAGGTTTGAGGCTGACAATTAGTTCTTCCCTTCATTACCAATCAAGTTACATGAGATGCAATTAGAGATCATTAAACATCGAGAATCCGTGTATGTACATAAATCAATCAACGAAATAGCGTTTAAGAATTACCAGATAAAGTAAAATTGACCTCAAGTTACCCAAAAAAAAAAAAGAAAGAAAGAAAGAAAAGACTTGGGGTTATTGGGATTCCTGTGACAAATGAGATCACAAAGTCAATTTAGTTCTCCACATATCTCCAATGACCTTCTTTGGTTGCGGATTGTCTGGTCCTCTGTCCCTCTGTCCTGATGTAAAATACAAGTAACCATCCCAAAAACCGGCTAATGTGGTTTTCACACGATAAGGAAGCTTCCCAATCACTGACCATCTCTGTTTATTAAGTAAGTAGAGAAAAACAAGTCTTTTTGATTTTCTTTCAGAAAAAGACTTGACATAAATAGGAATAAATAGTTAGTTCTCAAATCAAAAGAAGGGACGAGATTATAAATACCAGAGTGTCTAGATGAAATTGGAAGACCTCCCCAACCAGGATCATCCTCTTGGTAATTGGATGCTTTTCTGTGGTGCCTCCTGTGATGATGATTGAATTGTTTACAATCACCCAAGCAAACTCTATATGAGAGTTTGGCTTTGGCATTGGAGGAAGAACTTTCCATCTCATTTCATCATCCAACATATAGACGTCACTGTAAACCACCTGAAAATTTTAAGCACTTTTAGGCCTTGTTTGGTCAGAGGGAGGGAAAATAGGAACGACCGAGAGCTAGATAACCCAGGTGAGGGAAATGGAGAGGGAGGGGGTGTCCTTTCTCTTATGGAATTTGCTATGAAAGGAATGAATGAAAATAATAATAACAACAATCTTCTTGTTTGGTATAAAAATGCAAGGGAAAGAAAATATTCTACTTGTAGAATTATTACTTTATCTTTAGTTCCATCATGAATCCCTTCAAATTGCGAGAGAACAAAACAAGAGTTTTTCTAAGGGATTTCCATTCCATTCTCTAATTCTTCCCAACAAAGAGTCATGGATCTAAAATCCTTCAACTAAAACCCCCACTTCTATACATTAGGCCACTTCCCTCTCCTATATTACTACAGGTATAGGAATATCTGCTATGTAGAGTTTATGCTAAAAAGATGTGTAACCAATTGGTGCAAGCATAAAAAAACAACATTACAGCCAACTATTTACCCCTCCAAGAACAACAAATTGGTAAGTAGAAGAGAATGATACCTCGTGCCTGCGTGAACACTTGAAGATAGGTGAGCCAGGTTTGGCCATAAAATCACCCTCTTGACCACCGATAACAAAGAGCCGATCATTGGCAACTACACAAGCCCTGTTAAAAGATTGAATCTCGTGATTAGTAAACAAAGAAAATGCAGAACATTAGGGTGAAACCAATGCTACAATCCGTCAGACATGTAACCAGTGGTAACCATGAATTGATGAAGTGAACAAATTAAATTTCAACCTATGAGGTCCACCACGTGGGATTGGAATTTCTTCCCGCCATTGTTTCTCTAATGCTCTGCCGTCCTTCACCGCAATACTCCAGTGGTCCAGACCTGGTGTGTGGCGGTTCTCTTTGCTTCCTCCCATCACATGGAGTCTGTCTCTCCATAACTGTGTTGCTGGAGCATACCTGCAGTACTATCTCATATTAGAAAATCTATAAAACAAACACTGAAGTAGATTGTAGTAATGTAATATGAGGATACATAAAATAAATGGAGCTTTCTGTGGTAAGGCATCTCTACCAATGGTGCATGCTTCTAAACGTTAAATTTGATCAAAACCACATCAAAATGAGAGAATGCAAAACTGACAAAACTTGACACAAATCTCATATTTCAAAACAGAGTCCCTTTGGGTATTAAAACTTAAAAATGAATCGAAAGAGAGCTTCACATTAAGCATACAAAAATAAGGTTACCGAGGGGCGGGTAGATCAGGCATAGTCTTCCATTTCTTGGTCTCGGTGTCAAGCACAAATGTACGAGCTGTAGGGCCTCTACACTGTGGTCCGTATTGCCCTGATACAACATATATGTATCTCCCATCAGTTGCCACTCCTAAATGTGAATGCCCCATCTCTTTTGGCATGTCAAACCTCTCTCCCCACTTGTTACTGGTAAAGTTGAATACATCCACATGAGAGTGCACCTTCAACACAATATACATAATAAAAGCGCAACATCAAAACTTAGAATCCAGATTTGTGAACTCAAAACACAAACATTTCACTTCAGGAACAAGATACACAATTCAGAATTTAAGATTATGTTTATTTATTCAGATAATTATCTTTTTATATATCATTATCATGTTGACTTTATTATAAATAATTGTATTTGCAATTAGACTTCGTTGTTGATAAGATTTCAGATTTCCTCCTCTCGAGTTCTCGTTTACTTTCTAAATTCGCTCTTCGATCGCCCTTTTTTTCTCTCTAGTATCTCCTAGTTCCTTCCTTCAATCACTTCTCTCTCTTGATTCTACATCATTAGCATAATCTAGTATGTTGGCCTTGAACATCAAAGAAGCAAATTTTTTTTCTTTTTTCTTTCCTGGAAAAAAAAAAGAAAAAAGAACTTACATAGTCAATAGAGCCATATCCTGCAAAAACGTATAAAAGATTCTTAATCTGTACCGCAGCTCCGTCAAGGCGAGGCACCGGGGCAGGTGGCATTTCCTCCCATGGTAAATCAGATGCAGCTAAATCAGCAAAAGTTGCTGATAAGAATCTCTTCTCTTTATCTTCCAAAACACCTTGTTTCTAAAGCCGATCAATCAAAACGAACCAACAACCAAAAAAAAAAATCCCATTTCAACTACCAATTGAGAGTAACCACTAAACAAATCACATTGTGAAAAAAGAACGAAAAAACAGCAATTGGGTATCAAGGTAATAATGCCCACCTTACTAGCTATGTCGGTGTCTTGGTTTGGTACAACAATAATCCCAGATTTCGCAGAAGACGAGGAAGAAAGAGAAGTTGAGGAAGCGTAGAGAAAATCAGCTATGAGAGCAGCTCCGAGAAGAGCTGCAATGGATATCAAACAGACCAACTTTGTTGTAGAGGAAGATTTGAGGTTGTGAGCGAATCTGACCATTTTTTTTTTATCTGTATACCAATCAAGCACGTAAAACCCAATTTTATAAACAGAGAGAAGAAGAGTGTTTTTGATGAGCAGAAAGTTTTTTTGTGCAGCAGGATTTTTGAGTACGCAAAAACATGGGCGCCAACGGTTTTTATTTCGGTTTTTTTTGTTTTCCCTCTTTCCC